AAGGAGCTGAGAAATATGAGCTACATTGCAAAGAGTTTTATTTCTAACCACACAGACAGAAAAGAAATAAACATGCTCTCTCTGTGAGAGCAGAGAGACAACTGAAAAACAAAGGAACAGGAAGCAGTAACATCACATCCGTCTCCTGTCTTCCGTGAGACTTCCAACAGCCTGGAATCTCTGGAATGCAAAACAGAGTCTTGTGACTCCAAGCACTGCACAGTGGCAACACACAGAAATGAACACAAACAATATGCAAACAGGGCTATATTATTTAAGGCATGAAAAATACTCATAAGAAAAAAGGCATCCCAGCCCAGCATTTCCAGTGTCTTGACTGAGGCAGGATTCCCATCAATATTGTTTGAATGTGTGTGTATATATGTGTGTGTATATATATATATATAGGCACTGCTTAATGCCAAAACATGGATCTAAACTGTGGACATCATCTCTGCCCATGTGAGCCACCCCTGTGTTCACGAGGACTGGAAAAATCAGCAGCACATCCAGTGACACAGTGTTAAGGAAAAACAGTGTAAACAAATGATGGGAAGACACCATTTATTGTTGGATCCAGTTTTGCACAATAAATCACCTTCTTTTTCTCTCCCTTTTTAATGGTTATAAATTTAGACTCCATCATTGCCTCGGTCACTAAGGATATAACTGCATACCACACAGTGTTCCTTACAGCCATATTGGGAGGCACCATCGTCATTATCATTGGGTTCTTTGCAGTTCTCCTTTGCTACTGCAGGTAAGTAACAAGATTATAGTGATGTGCAATTATGACACAATGTATTCATGTGTTTCATCCTTGGAATGATGGTTCAGTCTTGTTTTGAAAATATATTTGAGGTATGGCCTCTGCAGTCCTCTGTTCAGTCCACTCTGAGAACAGCCTGCTGGACTAGATAGGACATTGGCCTGATCCAGCTATTTTTATGTTCTTACGTTCATGCAGTCATATGTGTAGAAGATTCTAGCTCTAGGACTCTGTGCTACTCTTCCCTGTTTTCTAAGCAACATTTATAAATAGAATAAAGGTATGCAGATAACCTATAAGGGTGTGTAATTCTTGTGTCATTAGACACAAAATGGATGTGTTACATATCTAGGCTGCTCTCCTGAACAGGTAGCTTAAATCCCATTGATGTCAGCCTAACTGCAGTCAGGATTTCAGCTGGTGGGCAAGGTAGAGCTTTAACATTATTGGTTCCCCACTTCTTTTCTTAGGGATACATGTGGTCAGTCAAAAAAGAGGAGGAGAAATATGACAAAACGGGACATCTCCAAAAAGGACCAGACAACATCAACAACTCACATAAATCACCTTGGCATTTCCAAGGGATCACTGAAGCCAGATGACAAGTCTCAGTTGTATTCAGCCACATTATCCTCCTATAGTCCCCAGAGAGGGGCTTCAGCTGAAGGGGAGGAGAGGAAAGGCTGCGACACTTTCAAAATCTACACAGAAGGTATTTCATACCAGTTCTCCAGCAAAAATTCTCACTGTAGCTCACCCCAGTCCTTGGAACCTAGCATAGGAGTGAGGCATTTACAGCCAGCAAAACATATTGGTGGCAGCATTTCTCCTGCTAGAGACTTGCAAGAACGGAACCACTACCTCTCGATGAATGAGGAAATATATGGTCTCACTCCCCTCCCAGAGCAACTAGTGCATCTTTATAGCCAACCTGTTGCCATCCTTCAAACATCTGACCTTTTCCATTCTCCAGAGCAGCTGCATGCTGCCAAGTCTGCCACTTTGCCAAGGAAAGGGCAATTAGTCTATAGCCCAATGATGGAGCCAATGAGTCGGGAAAGTTATACCCAGACATTACCCAAGATGCCCATGCACTCTCACCTCCAGGTGCCAACCTCCAGAGATGAATCAGCTGCATTAGATAGCCAACAAGGCTTATCCCCTCAAGCTGCAAATTGGGGGCGCTACACCAATAGCTTGCTGGAGTCAGTTTCTGTCCCAGGGACGCTAAACGAAGCCGTGGTCATGACACCATTTTCATCCGAACTTCAAGGCATTTCAGAGCAAACCTTGCTGGAGCTTTCAAAAGGAAAACAATCTCCGCATCCACGGGCATGGTTTGTTTCATTGGATGGCAAGCCAATAGCTCAGGTGAGGCATTCATTCATAGACCTCAAGAAGGGCAGGAAGACTGAGAGTAACGATACTAGCTTGGACTCTGGGGTGGACATGAATGAGCATAATCCCAGTCGGAAACTGGAGAGGGAGAAAACCTTCATCAAAAGCATGCAACATTCTAAGGTCCTTTACCTGGAAGACTTGGATCTCAGTAGTAGTGAAAGTGGAACCACAGTTTGTACCCCCGAAGATCAGACTGTGAAGCACATGCCAGATGGGGGGACTGATCCAGTCATAGAGCAGCACACACAAGAGGTGCCTAAGAAGAAAGAAACGGAAGACCACGAGGCTAGCCCTCCTCCAGCTAAGAAACGGGGAAGGCCACCTCTAACTAAAAGAGACAGCAAGACCAATATCTGGAAGAAGAGAGAAGAGAGGCCACTTATTCCAATAAATTAAAATTACAGTTATGTCTGCATTTTGGTCTGTCTGGTGTCCCCTTGGCTCTTTGCGTCTTATTTGTAAACTTAAATGTTCAGTTTATAAGAGACAACCAGAATCTGGTAACATTCCATTTCTCAATTCGTAGAGAAGGTTACACCTTCCTAAGAGTGCAAACCAGCTCTTCTTGCTTTTCAGCAATTACATGAACAAAGCTTCTGGTTTTTAAAATGTGCTGGGATGCATCTGTTGGGGTGCTCACACATGCTGCAGAAGAAGCCCAAATGCAACCTTCATTGTGTGCTCTGGAATCGGACATTTGACAAGGAAGAAGCACTGCTGGGTTGCATCGTCATGGGGAAGAGGCACACAGTGAGTGAACAACAAGATTTTATTTTTAACAATCAGTGTCTGATACGGATATTTTACCATACAATGTTTGATGTAGATGTCCTGCAAGGCAGCGAGATAAAAGCTGCCATTTTTCATCTAAAATGCAAGATCAGAACCTTTTTTGATACCTTGTATAACATTCCACCGCATTGTTCTCTGTATATACTTGGGGCAAAAATAATAATTCAGGGACTTGTTATCCATATGGTATTTCAAGTATGCGGACTTCTGCTTTTCATGTGCTGCTCCAGTATGTATTGAGCCAAATTGTGCTCCATTTTTAGAATAACTAGGTTTGTACATTAGGGCAGAATGTGCCCCTCAGCATCCAAGATAAATATTATTTCGAACTTAGCCAAAATGTTGGCTTTGTAGAAGACATTTCTTCCAGAAACAACCCCATGCTACTGAATAGCCTTAAAAGAGATAGAGACAGAGTAGTACTTAAGCAATTTGATAATGTGCCTCCTTTTTTTGCTGTGGTCCCAGTCTTGCAAGTCCATTGTGCCGCTTGAAAAGAGCCATTTGAAATCTCTTGGACTTCCTATCTGAATAAACTTATCCATATATTTAGCCAATGTCTTTCTTGCATGGGAAAACTGGCCTTGTAGGGCCAGTCCAGAACAGTCTTTGTATTAAGCAAATTCTCCAGTCTGAAAGCAAGCCTGTCAAAATGACCAAGTGAAGGGGAAAGGACCATATGGTGCAGTGAGTTCTTAAAATTGGGTAATACTCCTTTCTAAAGTCCTGGAGGGCCAGGGCCAACCAGCATAGTCTGCAGTGAGTTCAATGGCCCAATGATCTGTCTCTGTTAGGCAGCCTCCTATGACTGAGAGTTCTCTTATTCCAGAAAACAGATCAGAAGAGAACCTATATTGAACTTGTTTGGTTCTGCTCTGTTTCTGTGGAAAATAACAAAGACTGCAGCCCTAAACACATTTATCTAGTAAATCCAGTTAATTTCTGCGGAACGTACTTCCAAGTAGAAATGTCCAGGTTCAAGGCCCAAAGGTCTTAAGACTCATCTGAGATCAGGAGTGAAAGCAAGCATTCTCCCTGTATAGTGAGGCTGGCTTCCTTCCACTTATGCAGTGCAAATAATATGCCAGTGTACTTATGTAGAAGCTAGTATGACTTTATTATCCCATATTTCAGATGGGCTGTGTTTCTTAAAACATAGCATGAAAGTTCCTTCTCTTGGTGTATTTTAAAATCATTGTGTTTTGTTATTTTAAAAAATGGTTCTGGGAAGCCAGAGCGGGTGATACCACAGGAACTAACTGATCAGCATTCTCCTGAGCTCACTCCTAGCTCACCATTCACAGTATATTTGTCTGTATGCACCCTAAGTTTATTCTAACCTAATCTGTGTACTAGGAACACATTTCAGCACTACCTGTTGGTGTTTCTGAATATGAAGAAGGTAAGCTGTGGCTCTGGCCTATAGGACAACAGCCATCCTTGGAGTAGAATTTATTGTGGAGTTGGGGGGGGGAGTTACCAAAAGAAATGATTGCATGAAATGTAACTAAGAAAATATATACAGGAAAGAAGTACATAGAAAAAATGCATGTCAGAGAGGATAGGCTGAACATTTCTTGAGTTTTCTACGCACATGGAATACCCAAACATGTGACCACCACACAACCTGCACTCTGTTGGCACTGTTCAGAAAAAGCTACCACTTATATATCAATTAACTCTGTCACTGATTTTGGAGTATGCACAAAAAAATTAAGAGCAAGATAATGTCAACCTTATCCTAAGCACATTTTCTTAGAAAAATTATTCTAAGTAACTTAAATGGAATTTATATCCAAGTAATGTTAGGATTACAGCCTTATAAAATATTAATGTTTTTCCTCAAATTCTATGACATTTACACTTGTTGGGTTTGGTTGTACTGAACTTTCTAAACATTTGGAATATTAAAATATTTTAAAACTTATTTTAACTTTTTCTTTTGAAAAACATTAAAAGCATTATTGCTGGTAAGCATCTGAAGCCATCCCACCCCTTTCAAATAAAGCATTTCATAATAAGATTTCTGAAGCAATTCTGATAATTCTTAGCATTTTTGAAATTTTATATCAATTCGTTTTACCAACTGAAATTTAAAGTAACTTTGCAGATAATAAAAGACTTGTCAAATATTTGTACATTTTCCACTTGCTAATACACTGTTCCTCTACTTTAAAGCACAACAGTTTATTGTACTTCAACAAATGCGGTGTCTTTGTAAAAAATGAGTATTTTTACATATAAGCTGTTCTGTTGGGAAGTTTTTCTGTTCTTTGTATGCCAAGACTGCAGTCCAACACATGGTTCCACAGTAGTAAGTCCTATTTAGTTCAAGAAAACTTACACTTGGGTAAGTGTACATAAGATGGTTGCCTAAGAGCATGAATTGAATCAGGAACCCAGTTCTGTGAGCTACAATTACTGGGAACAGAGTCTGAAACCAGACATGAGAGTTGTGTGGCTGCCACTGAAAGGAGTCCTTGATACAGGAGTACTGATCCTGCCTACTGTAGCTGTCCTTGCTTTTTCTGCCTCACCAATAAGAGCAAGTGCCCTTTTCCAGCTGATGCTCTTCAAAAGCAACTGCACTGTATTGTTTTCTCCACTCTCAGCAACTGCATGAACTACCATTTAGTGGATGTAATGTGGGAGGAAAGAAGCACTCAACGTGCAGAGCTGTTTTCAGCACTGAGCCACACAGCATCTCAGAAGACTAGTTCCAGCCTGAGTGTTCCCAAGCCAATACTGGTCATCACTTATAAGCTGTAAATACTGAGAACAAGCAGACCACTGCCACTTGTTAATTCTTTGAGACACATGTTAGAATTCTATTTAATTCTCATTTCAATTTCATGACCTTCTGTAGCTCAATCTTTTTTTAAAAAAAAATCTCCATTTTTCTATTCTGTCAGGGGTGGCATATCATGTTTGTGTAACTGCTATGGTACTAATGATCTATTGCTACAGTGTATCTTAAAATTTATAAGATGTTAAAAGAGTTCATGCAATATAATAAAAATATTTTAAAAACTTGCAAATATAGCCTTCGTGATTCTTGGTCCTTTTAAAAACAATTCCTGGACTCGCATGATAATGCATCATTGTTATTTCACTAGCAATGCACTCTTCTCATGAAAAAGCTAATTGCTCATGTAAAGCTATCCCCGCCCCCCAAACGCTTATGCAGAAGTGAGTAACATGCTTATACAGAAGTCAGTGGCGCTTGCTCTGAAGTAGCCGTACACAGAACTGGAACCTTATGGTATTTTATTTTATTTTAATGAAAACCAAAAGATGCATAGAGACATGTTAATAATTTTTTCCTTGATGTTACAAAATAAAGCTGGGTGTTCTTTCATTGTGGAAGATAATATTTTAATTCATTTTTCCACTTCTATGAACAAAGAAGATTCATGTTTTTATCAACTGATTTTAAGGATGCACATTAGGGTCTGTGTATACTTGCTTGAAATAAGCATTGCCCAATAAATGAGCTGTATTAATAAAAACAGATATAAATTAACAAAGCAGCAGATATGCTAAGCTTGGCTTCCATTCCTAGGAATGTTACCCAGCAGCTACTCGCAAATTTTGTAAAACAATCTCACCTGACAAACCAAGGCAAGGGGATCAAAATTAAGGAATTCTTCATTAATACCTATTCTCTTGCAATTTCAGGCTCCTTATGATATGCTCTGAACCTTTGCTTGAAACTTCCTGGTTCCTCATGGTGTAGTTCTGAGTTCATTCATCCACTATACATGTTTCTGAGTACTTACGTAAAACGAAGTGCTGTAGAAGTAGTGGCTCCAATTCAACACAGCGCATATGTAAACTTTTTAAAAGTAAAAACCTGAGGGAGGGAAAAACCTCAACCCTCTGTTTTGCCCACATGAGCAGCCACTATATGATGCTTCAAAACTTTTTAAAATGGCACATATCTGCAGTTCCAGCTGCTAAATCAGGAGGGAAAACATGCACAGCAGTCATTTGTGCACATGACTTCCTCTCTAATTTTTGATATGCAGGATCAAATGAATTTTTTTTTATTAATGTCAAAATTTAAATGGCAAATTTATGTCTTAATGCTTTATACATTAACAGATTTTTTTCTCATCATGTTTAACGGAAACAATATGGATGTATATGACTTGTGCAGGCATAATGTTGCCAGACATAATTTGCTGTAAGATTAAGTACTGAGTTAAGCCAAGCTGGCTATTTCGCAGATTCCTCCTAATATGAGATAGGAGCGAAAAAGAATATAATAAATTCAAATAGTTCTTTTGAAATATATTAAACTTGCATCCTGATCCTATAAACATTTACTCAGAAGTAAGTCCTACTCAGTTCAATGGGGCTTACTCCCAAGTAAATGTGCACAGAATGGAAATTTAAAAGGCATTTCGAGTTACAGATAAACCTCTCAAGGCAGTGCCAATTGCCTCCTGTGTAAACACATCAGCATGAGGCTTTGGAATAAGAGACAAACCCCTAGCATATCTAGAAAACTTCAAATTTCTGATTTTCTGAGTACTGTGCTGGCTAGAAGCAGAGCTTCTTGTACAAGTACAGTTGAAGCCATTCCGTGTTAGACTCTCTTCACATTCTGAATTATTTTTCTTCTTACAACGCACTTGAATTTGACTTTGAGACTTCTCAAGAACATGGCCAGGTTTCATTTGCTTGACAAGCAATCCTGTCCCTGGTATAAAAAGCTCCTGCTCATCCTGCTTTGTAAACTTATTCTTTGCTTGAGACATAATTGGGGTTACTTCGCCTTTGCTTCGTACATTCTCCCAGGTTAATGGATTATACACAATGTGTCCGTCAATAGGGCAGGCATTTTCTTTGTGCAACCAATGGTCAATGCATTTCCTATGAAACTAAAAAAACAAACACATAATATATTATATATCAGTACTTATCCACCAAAATACTATTCATTGACAAAAGGGTATTTAGCATCAACAAATTATTTGCAAAGAGGTCAGATTCTCCTTCCATTTTAGAGAAAGTCGGAAGCAACTTAAAAGGTTTTATTAGAATAATACTGATCCAAACCTACTTATCTTGGGAGCATTAGGCCAAGCACACTAATATACTGTGGGAAATGCATTTGCTCAAATGGTATAAACTGTTGTAAATCAATAAAATAGCCATGGTGCTCTTAACTGAGACAAATTCCATGACTGAACCAATGCTCTCTGAAATCCATTGCTAACATCTCTTCGATTTCAGGCTAGTGCTCTCCAGTTACTCTATTTTCCATTCTTTCGAGAAATGTATAGAGCGTATTTATTATAAACATAGCAATGGATGGTTTTGAACTAAGTTGTGCACAATGATTTTCAGCTGCATAATACAGCTTCCCCACCCTCTCCTATCCCCACATACCCCCATGTACCCTACTAAATCTGCTACGGTGGTTTCTCTGATCCCCTAGAGCAAATTCAGAAGGTGTACAGGTAGAGGACAGAGTAGGCAAGTTACACTGTGCAGCGAAGTCACTGCACTAGCAGAACTGTTTAGTTGAATGCTGCCCAGTGCAACTGTTTATTGAAGAGGGTCATATAAATTGGTATAAAATATAATACAAATAAGAGACTTGGTTAAAAATTGGACAGCAATAAGCTACACTAGTTTAAAAATTGGACATCTCAAGCTGACTTATACTGAGTCTGAAGACTGATTTATTTACTCAGCATAGCATATTTGCATGTCATAAACATATTTGCATGTCATGCGTGTGCTGTAGTGCTGAGTTGTGTGTGACAGAACTAGAACCATATTATGTGCTGAAACAAGTTTTAATTACTGCATGATATTTCTAATCTTAAAAAACACAACAAGTAGTAGAACAATAATGTAGCTTGTTATAAAACTCCAGTTAGCAAATTATATACCGATGGGGAAAGTTTGGTTCCTAAAAACAGGAGAAATGGCTATGGTGTGACAGCTGCTGGTCTTTAGTTCTATTCGAGAAAGCTTTTTTAGTCTGAGAGCCACAGCCATAAGCAACTTCCCAGGAACTGCATGCCAGTGTGGGCAGAGCCAGCAGAAAAAGTGGGTGTAGCAAGTCATATGATTCTTCCCTTTGTACAGCAGGCTATATTCCAGCGATGCAAACGTCAGACGTATCTGCACATACACACACACAGTGGTACCTCGGGTTACATATGCGTCAGGTTACATACGCTTCAGGTTACAGACTCCACTAACCCAGAAATAGTACCTCGGGTTAAGAACTTTGTTTCAGGATGAGAACAGAAATTGTGCTCCGGCGGCACGGCAGCAGCAGGAGGCCCCATTAGCTAAAGTGGTGCTTCAGGTTAAGAACAATTTCAGGTTAAGAATAGACCTCCAGAACGAATTAAGTACTTAACCCAAGGTACCACTGTACTCCATTCCAACAAGCAGGAGACATCACAGTTCAAGGACAGGAGGTGGAACACAGGAATAGTGAGGAACATTGACTAAGGAATGTGTCAAGGACTGGACAGAGGGGCTGAATTTGGCACCCAAACATGAAGTCTCCACCAAGTCTTTAGTTTGTTTCACAACCTTAGTAAACACTTCTTGACTCACACCTAGAATTGTAGAGTTGGAAGGGACCCTGAGGGTCAACCTCCTGCAATACAGGTATGTGTGTGTGAATGTCTGAATGTGTGACTAGTCTCTGCTTAAAAGCATTGTATCTGAAGTAACATTGGGTGGTATATGACAATAAGTGTTTGGGGGGGAAAGCTGGGCAGCTGTATATTTTATTTACCTTGTGATTACACGGCAAGAATCTTGTCATTTGGCCAAGGTGAAAGATCTTCAAGCAGAGTCTACATTGCAAGCCTGGATCAAGTAAACTGCTACATTTTCCAACCAGCACAGTAGGTAATGAGTTTATTATACCCTCTGGTATGCAGCTGTACCAAAAAAAACAACACCCAAACATTTATATTTAATTGCACTAAGTCTTAGAAATTAAATAAAACAAAATCAATGTTGTAACTTGAAGAAGAGGAGGAGGAGGAGTTTGGATTTGATATCCTGCTTTATCACTACCCGAAGGAGTCTCAAAGTGGCTAACATTCTCCCTTCCCTTCCTCCCCCACAACAAACACTCTGTGAGGTGAGTGGGGCTGAGAGACTTCAAAGAAGTGTGACTAGCCCAAGATCACCCAGCAGCTGCATGTGGAGGAGCGGGGAAGCGAACCTGGTTCACCAGATTACAAGTCCACCGCTCTGAACCACTACACCACACTGGCTCTCAGTGCACATACACAAAACTGCATATAGCCAAGACTCGCCAGGATCACCACTTTCCAATCTAGCCAGGGCCCTAAAAAGCTGACCAAGCTTTTCCACTTTGGCAGCTCATGTTCTTTACTGCAGGTGGGCACAGCCTTTTGCCTGTAGAGTAACTACCGCCACTCCTGCATCCTGCCAGTACTGGCTGAGCCCTCTCCCACCAGACAGAAACCTTCTCGGCAGTAGCAGCTTAGATTGGCCATGGTCCTTGCCAGCTGCTTAAGTTTCATTTATTTTAATTTAAAATGATTAAAATGAGTTACATCTTACTTATCCCTGTGTTTTTCCTCTTTAGAGTTCTCTGGATTAAAACTCTGCAGATTTTCTGAAGTTGATAGTTGTGTTACTGGTTCAACTGACCTCCATCTCTGATTCCTTTTCTAGAGAATGGGTAAAGAGCTAATGAAAGCTAAGCAGTAATTCATTACTTCAAAGTCACTGACAGAAGAAAAATGTCACACACACATCTTCAGTCTTAAGGACTATGGAAGCACAGTTTTTTCCAACAGATATCCTACAAGAAATTCATTGAAATTAGATTGTGCATCACAGCAGCACATAGTCAAAGACTTTATTCAAAGGAAAAATATAGTAGGCTTGGTGAACCTGTGGCCCTCCAGATGTTGTTGGACTGTAACTCACACCTAGCATGGTCAATGATCAGAGATGATCGGCGCTGTAGTCCAACAATAGTTGAAGGGTTAGATTCCCCCAGCAATATTGGATAGGATAGAAAAGCAATTAATAATAATAAATTTTATTTATATCCCGCCCTCCCCAGCCGAAGCTGGGCTCAGGGCGGCTAACAACAATCAAAATAATCCGACATTCTAAAACAATCATTATAAAATTAATTAAATCAAATTAAATTAAAATCAAATTAATGGCAACCATCAAGCCAAATTCTGTGCAGATTGCCGATTGCCAGAGGAGGGGGTCAGGCTGCGCCCTGACCAAAGGCCTGGTGGAACAGCTCTGTCTTGCAGGCCCTGCGGAAGGATGTCAGGTCCTGCAGGGCCCTAGTCTCTTGTGACAGAGTGTTCCACCAGATTGGAGCCGCGACCGAGAAGGCCCTGGCTCTAGTTGAGGCCAGCCTAACCTCTTTGTGGCCTGGGATCTTTAGGATGTTTTTATTTGCAGACCGTAGATTTCTCTGTGGGACATACCAATTGAGAGTCAAATCACACTTGCACAATTCCATATGCATGCAAGTAAATCCTGCTATGCTCAATGAGGTGAAGTATATGGACACATTAGCGGCTTGAAATGCAGCAAGGTCCTTTGTTAGGGTATGTTCGGATTACTGCTTATTCTACATCCAGTTTTCTAATCAGACTGAACCCTTTTTATCAAACCAGCTTCAAACAGCAGTATTTGTCAAGAAACTACGTGCTCAGTATGGACTGTAGCGAGCATAATGTGCATGTGGCTTCAAAAATTAGCAGTGGGAGCACACCAGGTGCAGAGTAAGCAGTACTGTAAACATATTCTTATTCCCTTAACCTTACTAAATGTTTTAGGATTGCATCCTTACTCTTTATTTTGATCCTTGGGTCAAAATTTCTTGGGTCAAAACACGTTCAGAAATGCTCATTTTTGTTCCACAGAGATGATTTATATACAAACAGTTACCAGTTCCCTGTAAAATGTTTGCTGATTCAATTCCTGAATTAAGATAAATTTGAAAGGGGTTGTACTGTACCTCACGAAAAGCAAAGCTATGTGAAGGATGACAAAATCTTCTAAAACATCCATGGCATAGGTGATATTCACTACACTCGGTGCACCTTGAAGCAATGAGGCAAACAAAATTGTCAGCAACTTCCTTATTTCACAAATAAGCATATCTTAAAATAAAACCGATTGATGTTGAATTTATCAGCGCTTTTGTATGGAACACTCTACTGACACCCAAGCTGTATGCTACAGACAAGCCTGTATTACATTTGCTTTTGTAGGTGAAAAAGTAAAATAATTTAAGCTAGCTGGAAGTATTTTGATGGTTCTTAATCATCTATAAAATGTGAGAACACATGTCTTTTTGAAACTGAAGAACTTGCATTTTATTTTAGTGTCTATCCCTAAAGAGTTGAGCAGGTCAGGTGAAGAAATACTGGCCTATACTGTACCAAAATACCTGGAAATGTCAGAATTAAAACCTATAAAAAGACTCCTATTTCAAAATATAGCGCTATCTAAGGTAGCACATTAGGCCACCTTAGCAACAGAAACATTTGGAAGAAAGTGAAGCTTGTCTTTATTTACATACCCCCCTCCTCAATGGACTCTAGGGGGACAACAGTCTTTTTTCCCTCATAATATTTTTTAAATGCCATGTTTGCTACTCTTGATTTATTGGAGAAAACCTTTCTTGAATATGGCTATTACATTTTTTTATTTGAATACTTGTATATAAATGTTTTTAATTATGTATTCTAGTCAGTTTCCACTATATAAGAGACTGGAGGGAAAGCAGCTGCAATCAAACAGAAATCTCTCATGTAAGAATAGTTACCAATGTGAGTAAGGTTTTATTGTATTGAAATATAACCCAAGATACATACAAGTAACTATGAACTATGATACAAACAGCTTTTTTCCCCTCTGTTAACAGCACTATCCTATGCATGTTTACTGGAAAACAAGTCTTACTTGCCATGTATGCACATAACACTAAACTATGGCTTGTTTTAACCATGGTTTGTTGAATAAGCCATGATCAGTCTTACAGACAAGCAAAGAGACCATGGCTTGTTTTGCCATGGAAAATTCTGAACTGTCAAGTAGAAAAGGACATTATTGTTGTGCTACTTTAAGTAGGTAGAAAATCATTCTAGCCAGCTAAAATTTAAGTTGTTTCCCCCCCCCCCACAGAGTCCTGCATAGCCGTTAGTAAAGTAGCAAATTTACATCTTCTGCAAAGCTAGGTTTACTTGCTTGAAATTGATAGCTAGATGCTAGGGCAGGGAAAGGAATCTGTTGCCCAGCAGAATGAGGAGAGGGTTATTCTGGAAAGGTGCCAGAAGTTTCTTAGTCTAGTACGTGGGCCTTTTTTACAGTCGCTTTTGCTTCACACTTCTTAGTGGGTAGGGCACCATTACAAACAAGAATAAACCAGGATCCTGAGTTCATATGTAACAATACACCATGCTTAAAAGAAGCCAAGATTCAAAAGCAAAACATGGTTTCAAATCATGGTTTGTTGCCCCACCCCCCACCAAGGTGGGCTCAAATATTCAAACAAGTGACAATTAGGATAAACAAACCATGACTTAGCATTATGTATGAATGTGTCTGCTTTGTTCAATGGAATATATACCTTAGTGTGTTTAGACTACTAACAAAATATATTTTCTATGTGATCTGAAGGAAGGAAAAAGCGAGGGAGCCCAAGCCAGGGAGCTTTACCATCAGCTCCCCGCTGGCCTGAGTGGCCTCTATCCTTTTAGATTGTATATTCTGTATTTATTTTAGTATTTTAACATTGTAAACTGCCTTGGATGCCTTGGCAAAAATGGTAGTACAGTGGTGCCTCGCAAGACGAAAATAATCCATTCCGCGAGTCTCTTCGTCTAGCGTTTTTTTGTCTTGCAAAGCAACCCTATTAGCGGCTTAGTGGATTAACGCTATTAGCGGTTTAGCGGCTATTAGCGGTTTAGCGGCTATTAAAGGCTTAGCAGCTAAAAGGCTATTAGCGGCTTAGAAAAAAGGGGGGGAGCGAAAAAAATCGCAAGACTCGCAAGACGTTTTCGTCTTGCGAAGCAAGCCCATAGGGAAATTCGCCTTGCGAAGCGCATCGAAAAACGGAAAACCCTTTCGTTTAGCGGGTTTTTCGTCTTGCGAGGCATTCGTCTTGCAGGGCACCACTGTATATAAATTCAGTAAATAACAAATAAATTTAGTAGAGCAGAAACACCTACTGACATAATTTAGTAGAAAATCAAAGGGTTAGTAATCATAAAAATAACAGCTATATCCCTACAAAATATTAATCTCAAAGGGTGTGCCTGTTTGTATAAATTTTCTTTCATTTCTGACTGAGGAAAAGTTACAAGTACCACAAGCTCACAAATAAGGATGTAGGACTGTACTAGAATACTGTACTAGAAAATGCTTACTTGTAACAATTGCCTTCAATGGGACATACCCTGCAATTATTGCACGGGATTCCAAGATGTCTGTCAAGATGCTGCTTCTCTGCTACAGTGATGAGTCTTTTGCTGTTTCTGAATTCTTCCAATATAAGTTTCAACGGTGCAAAATCTTCCCTACACAGGGGACACTTCACCAAAGAATCTTTTTCTAACTCTATCTGATGATCAGCCCAGATCTTCATACATACTATGTGTATGTTGTTGCCACAACCAAACCTATAGAAAATTAACTATATTGTGTATCCTTCTCAAGAAAACTCACATACAAAAAGTTCTATGAAACTATGAAAGCTGTTACAAATATACAGTAGTCTAGATTCATAAGCATATTAACAAGAAAATGTTATCCTGCTGTCTCTGACAAAATTGTGTAACATGTTCTAACTTATCTATGATCATCATAAAAGCTTTAAAGTGGTTTATTTTAAACCCAGTTTATCTTACATGGAAGGGAAGAAATGACATAGGACAGTCACAAAGATTGAGAGGAATCTGGTTCATTTATTGACAGATGAGTTTACAATATTAAAAATGTTCTTAGTGCAGCTAAATTAAAAAAGAGCTAAATGTTTGAAATCCAGGTACAAAGATGGAAATTTACAAATAGATTGCTGATAAAAAAATGAGTCACTTCTACTGTTTGTTTTAATGTTAAATAATTATGTCTGCTTCCTGCAGGGGGTGATCTTGTTGGTTGTCACAACCCTTGTTTCCATTCCCTTCCTCTCCACCTGCCTGGCTGTGTTTTGAAGCTGATATGTTTAACTAAACAGAGCTTCTTTAAAACCACAAACTCTAGTGTATATGAAGCAATAAGCCAAGATTCTTGAAAGCAAAGCTAAATGCTAGTGAATTTTTTCTCGAAGTCACATAACAGAAGGAGATGAGAGGAAAGGAGATGACGTGACCCCAAAGCTTTGCTTGGGCTCTTTCTAGCTTTTGCACCTAATGCTAAACTATACATTAGCATTACATGAAAACCAACATAAATAACAACAACAACAACAACAATAAGAATAAATACAATAATAAAAAGCTCAATATGTGACTCTAAAGTATTAAAGAAAACACTACCAAACAAATACTAACAACACAATTATTCTAGACTATATAGCCTTCAGATAATGTAGTCCAAGCAAAACATTTTTGGAGATACTGTGACATAATTATTTAGCCTTCTTAAATAGCAGGGGTGACTCACCTGCAGTAAGTGACAGGAAGCATTCTCTTCAGCAGCTTGTCCTGGCAAATAGGGCACACATCCTCATCATCAATTTGTTTTTGTTTAATGTACCCATCATCAGCTGTTTGCAGCTCCTTGGTGGAATTAGCAGATAGCTTTAGTTGGGGAGCAACTTGTAGACCCTGAAGCACTTGGTTAATTTCTCTTTCCACAAGACCCAACTGTAGAGCATCTGTAGAAAAGTTCAACAATGAAAATGTCTGATAAAATATAATTCTGGTTGTTTTCCAAGTGGATCAGAAGTAGTCAACGATGTAGTAACTCACTCTTTTATATAAAATGAATGGTCTCTCATTAAAAGTCAGATTCCCACACACTAAGAACATGAAAAAATTGGTATGGGGTTGAATGAAGGAATGAAGTTATTTTGGAAATATTGCTTGTGATGCATATGGTGAGTCAATCAGAAGATCAGGCTTCATGCTGTGATTTCTGCCATAAACCGACCACCAAAAAGTGAACTAATGTAATGAAAAATGAAATATTAGCACTTTATGTACTGATCTACAACAGGGGAATAAAAATATGAGGTTAGTTAGTACTTACATTCATGGTCTCTGGGAAGTTTGAATTTTTTCAACAATAACCTAAAAATAAAAAAGCAAAAAAAGGACACAGCTATTCAGTAACTTGACACTGTAACAAAAGCTGCCTAATCAAATTTTAATTTAAAAGTGTATAATCTTTAAGATGCAGCCCATCTTTACCAAATTTGACTCTGACAGTAGCCTGGTTTACACATCACAGTAAGGCAGGAATGCCAGCTTGGCTCCACAACCGTGGGTGCCCAGGGCCGTGGGTGCTATGCAGCGTGCATGGCTCTGACACTTAAATTTGTGGGTGCCTGGTCCCTTCATGGAAAATGTTGTGGGTCCTTGAACACCCAGGGCCCCAGGGAGTTCTTTACTCCTGCAACGCATGAGTGTGTCATCTGAACCTAGGCTCACGGTTAGCAGTCCCCAGTAAGCCATAATTTGGCTTACCATGATGTGCAAACCAGGCCTCTGTACAATTATGGTTTGCTATCATTTACTCTTCTTTTTCTACCTCTTAATTAATAATTCTCAAATATTAATATGTTTACTAAATAATTACATCAACATAGGCAAGGACATGGAACTTTTGGCTATCCAGATACTGTTCTACTCACTCCCATCATCCCTGACCATTGACCATACTAGCTGGGACTGATGGGAGCTGGAATCTAGAGGGCCAAAGCTTCCCCATTCCTGGTATAGAGCTTTCACATATTTAAAGTACTTCACATTGTCTTATAATCCTCACAGAAATACATAAGATCTTATATATATCATTTAATACCTCAAAACATATGTAAGACAATGAAGTATTATCCCTGTATTGCAGATGCAGGGATGGTGGAGGTGAGGCTGAATGTGAGTGTCTTGCCTAAGGCTTTCATGAGTTTATGATAGAGAAAAAATTCAAACTCTTGACTTAGCTACTGTATCTTATAGTCACTGCAGCATTGGTCTTTGACTGATGGATGGTGGGTCACAACCTGACCTAACAGCAACACTGCCATTTATATGTATGTTTTGGGTTCCCATAAGCATGTCTTGGCTAAATATCTGAACATTTTGAAGACTTATACAACAGGTCTTTTACTCAACATTAATTCTCTGATTTCAATGCAATAAATCTATTTAGGTGAACTTGGAATAGTAGACTTATGATTTTTCACACTCCCTTTCCCTCTCCAACTTCTCATCCCTCTGCATTACTTCCTCTTCATTAACATTTTGGTCCTTGCTACATTTCATAACCCTCTTTCCCTCCTTTTTTGAGGCCTTTCTGCTTTCACCCAGTCTCGTTCTGTCAAAATAGCTACCTGATTTTTAAAAAACCAAATAATTGTCCTTGTGCAATTGTGTAAAAAATATATATATCATAACATCATTTGTATAACTTCATTTTATAAACCAATTTACCAGCAGATATGTTTACAAAGATCCTTTTCTTTCACAAATATTGAGCAGCTGCACGAGTGAGGATTCCCCAGAAAAACCTTACAGCAAAGCAACAAAGAACACATTTAGAAATTGTAATACAAAAATGATACAATGAAAATAAAGGCAAAGGTGGGGGTGATGCTATAGCCGAGTATTTACTAAAATCTTGCTATTCTTCCTGTACTTTATTTACACATCTTTAAAAATAGCCCTTAGTCTACAAACTAACTAGTTGTGTTGATGGCTCTCTGAATGTGAACCTTCAGGATATGTAGTCTGTATTGTCGGCACCAATCACCTGCTGAAACAGGAGTAAGAAAATTGGAATTGGATTCTTTAGGCAATTAAAGCATTGGAATGGATGCTAAAATTATATCGGGGGTGCTTTAAAAAGCACAACTTAAAACGTTTTTGATGCTGGACACATAGGTTTTACTGCTTTTGTACAAGTGAAGCATATCCAGAAATGTTTTCTGTATGTGGTTTCTCACGTGCAGATTTCCATTTTTAGATTGGGGCAAGTTTATGCTGGTCTTTGCTTTGTCAGCACTGAAGAGGTAGCTGTGAAATCACGTCTCATTTCTTGCTAGCATTACATCTTGTAATTCTGTAATTATGGGATTTATTTGGTGCTTTGTAGCTAAGCTTTTATCTAATTCTTGAAAAGCTTCAAAAAGGGGGGCTTGAGCTTACTCAAGTGCTAGGAAACCAGAATATGATTAATTGGGAAAATGCAAATGCTATTTTTATTTTATGAGCTCTTTAAGTCACTCATATGTCTGCACTTGAGAAATCTGATTCAAGACTAGAGTTCACAATACAAGATTTGTGCCTTTGCCTTACTGTGGGTATGGAGAGACTGATATTGTGCCTGAACAGTGTGTCTAGCTCCTGAAGTGGAAAATGGGCTTGCAGAGCAGAAATAGCCTTGAGACAGGATAATAACATGGTCTTTTAAGAGTTATGTTCAGAACCCTGGGTGCTGTAGTAACAGTTTCACAGAATCATAGAATTGCAGAGTTGGAAGGGAAACTGAGGATCATCTAGTCCAACTCCCTGTAATACAGGAATATGCATTTGGCTCATATGGAGACCAAAATTGCAACCTTAGCATTATCAAAACCATGCTCTAACCAGCTGAGCTATCAGACCCTCCAAGTGCCCCCATTTTCCAGGGACAGTCCCAGATTTACAGAAGCCGTACTGGTTTCTGATTTCATCCTAGAATGTCCCGCTTTTCCTTAGGACGTTGCTATTTTCATCAGAAAAATAATGGAGGTTATGGAGTTACGTGACCCCCGAGCCAAGGAAATAAGTAACTCTACAACCTTTAGAAGAAATCCCTGTATAGGCAGCCCTGTATAGGGAAGTTTTTTAAATGTCATGTTTTTGTCCATGTTGGAAGCCGCCCAGAGTGGCTGGGGCAACTTAGTAAGACGGGTGGGGTATAAATAATAAAATTATTACTATGGACTAACAGGGCATCCCTTATTTTCACTGGAGAAATGTTGGGAGATATGAGCTATGTTGTTTGGCATTATAGCTGCGTGAGGGGCAAGCAGTTTGTTTATTTAATTTATATACCGCCCTATACCCCGGGGGTCTCAGGGCGGTTCGCAGAATAAAACGAAGATATAAAACCACAAAATACATAATAAAGATAAAAACAACAACCTAATAGCACCCCCTCTAGAATTCCCATGATTCTAGTTGGGGCGGGGGGGGGGAAATAAGTCGGGACTGCTAGAAGCAGTAAAAATGTGCTTTACATAGATGCTGTGGGTGGGAGAGATTATGGGATGGAGAAGGGGGCGGGGGGGGGAGTAACACAGGCGACCTGGTCTAGCCAGAGATCTTCCCATTTCCCTCGCTACTCCCGAGTCCTTAGATGGGGGAGAAACGGCTTCCCTCTTCCTCAGCCTCTCAGCCGCCCTACCCTGTGCTCCGCCGCCCGCTGCTCTTCCTCCTGCAGGACGAAAGCGGTGGGCCCCAGTTCCCTCACCAGGCGCATGGTGCCGCTCAGCGCCTGGTCCTGCCGCCGGCTCAGCCCCGCGGGGGCCGAGAGGCGCCTCCGCGACATGAGAGGCGTCGAGCCCAACCGCCTCTCTTTAAAAACTGCCGGCCACCTCAGGCTGGTTCCCATGGAGACGGGAAGGAGCAGCGCGCGCCTCGCGCCTGCGCCGTCAACGCGTCTGCTGCCGAGGCGGCGTGTGAAGTGATAGGAAACCAGGTGTTCCTCCGCCTCCTCCCTTTCTTTGGCCGGCCTGCGAACCGAGAGAGGAAAAGGAGTCCTCATTTGGGAGCAAGGAGGCACGCGGATGGTTCCCTCGGAGGAGGCTGGGAAGGAAAGCTTTGGAGGCCCCGCCCTGTCCTCCCAAGGGATGCCGCTGTGCCAGGGCCGGCCCACCCACGAGGCAAGGTGAGGCGGGTGCCCGAGGCGGTGGAATCCGTAGGGTAACAGACCCCAATAGTACCGTTTTATTCCTCCCTTGTTTCCGATGTAGATCTTCACTCACTCCCTTCTCCCTATAAGTATTTTATATAATACTGTACATATATAACGTCTGTATGTGTGTGTGTATATAAAAAATATAATACACAACATATACAATACACACACACAAAATAAACAAACACACACACACAAAATAAACACACACACAGAGACATATATATATATATATATATATGTGTATATATATATATATATATATATATGTGTGTGTGTGTGTGTGTGTGTATGTATATAAAAATACATAGTAGATTTTGGATATGTGTGGTTTTCCTTTAAGAAAGCACATTGCAGATTTCCATCATGCTGCTGTCCAGAAGCCCGGGCAGTGCAAACAGAAACAGCCTAGTTGCTCCTTTAGTTCAGTGCATGTATTGCATTCTAATCCTCGTGTTTAAGGAGATTCAGAACTTCAGAAATATAAACGCAGCAAATAAAGCCAAGGGGGCTAAAGTGGAAATCAAAGCGTTCTTTGGGAAATGGTTTGCTAAAACTGTATTAGTATTTTAACGCCCGACGAAGCTAAAAACGGAGCACCCCCAATCAAATAAATCCTTCATGTAGTTTCATATTTCAGATATGTGGTCTTGTTATTTAATTATATTACCAGTTTTGTATCAGTGTCCTGGTATCAAATATGTTCTAAGACTGTGAAGGTGTGTTTTCCTAATGACATCATCATGCGCTAATTAAAGGGACTTGGGTGAGTTTCCATTTTTACCCAACACAAACTTTCACGCTGTTCTTGCCTTAAAATTAATAAATATTACTTTTACAAAATGTAACTGGAAGCTTGTTACTAACTACGTAACACTAGTTTTATTTCAAAATAATTTGTCACTTCACAAACATGCGTCTCAAAAGGCTTCCAATACATAAACCTTTGTTTTTAAAATCTTGTTCAGCTACAGATGCAAATAACCATCTCAACAACACACTGTATTGAGCTTTGTGTAGAGTTATAAATGAAGAGAGTACATTGACTTACACAAGTACACCCGCTGTTGTAGCACTAATTTCTGAACTCTACTGTCTGTTACCCCTTACATTCTTGGTTCTCCTTGGGTTATGTTTGAGATATGCTCAGAAATAAGTAGCATTGAGCTCAATGAAACTCCCAGGTAACTGTCTAAGATTACAGCCTAAAGTGGGGGGACGGGAACATGACAGATTTTTGAAAGTGTATGATATAGAAAAAACGTTTTTCTGCCACTCTCAAATTATTCCAACTAGAAATCATTCATAAAATAGAGTAGCTGTAAATTGAGGAAAGTACTTCAGTACACAAAGAATAACTGATTTAGGCAAATCACTCCCCAAAGATCTGGCAATGACCACTGGATTAGGCAGCTTTAAAATAGGTTTAGACAAATTAATGGACAATAGGTCTATCAATGAATTAGGCATGAAAAGCAGGATCTGCAGCAAAACAGTTGCCGTGTGGAGTGCTCCTGTTCAGGATACAGTGGTACCTCAGGTTACAGACGCTTCAGGTTACAGACTCTGCTAACCCAGAAATAGTACCTCGGGCTAACAACTTTGCTTCAAGATGAGAACAGAAATCGTGTGGCAGCAGCGGGAGGGCCCAATAAGCTAAAGTGGTAACTCGGGTTAAGAACAGTTTCAGGTTAAGATCGGACCTCCAGAACAATTAAGTTCTTAACCTGAGGTACCACTGTACTTCATTCCATTCCCCTTTTGCCCTCCCCAAGAGTCAGGCATTTTGTACTCAGTGAGCATGCTTGGTCCTCTTTGGGCGTTTCAGAGGTTCCTCCCTTTATATCCATATAATTTTTTAAAAGTTCTATGTACTTCTGGAAACATGGTTCCTGTCTGCTGATACCACCCCCTTGTGTTCAGGTCTTGCCATTTTCATAAGAATGGCGCTTGTAACATTTGATTGCTAATACAGTGGTACCTCAGGTTATGAACTTACCGTAATTCATTCCGGAGGTCCTTTCTTAACCTGAAACCGTTCTTAACCTGAGGTACTTTAGCTAATGGGGCCTCCCGCTGCCGCCACACAATTTCTGTTCTCATCCTGGGGCAAAGTTCTTAACTAGCGGAGTTTGAAACCCAAGGTGTTTGTAACCCGAGGTACCACTGTATATGACTTACTTGGGGTATCCCCCAGCTTCCTCTGCTCGCCAACCTGCCCGCCATTCTCCCTCACATTACCCCCTAGAGCTTCCCCTTGCCACCTCATGCAACTACCTCATGCAACTCTTTCCTGACCCAATTCTGAAGCCACTTCTTGCTTCTATTCTGCAGCCCCACTCTCCACCTGTGTTCCCATGTCTATACCTCCTTCCCTCTCCCTTAGAGCAGCTACTTTGCACACTAACCACCAAGTGTCATCCCATATGTTCTACTGCATTTTATTGTCACTTTCCTTATGGCAAAAGTGTGATCTTTCAGAGAAGTGTGTTGTGCAAGAGCTCCAAATCTGCTTTAATTGTACAACCTGAATTTGATAGTTGTTTTAAATTGTTCTATGTGCACTGCTTAAAGATTCTTTGATTAAAGAGTTTATAACTACTTCTCAGGAAGGAAGTAAAACCTTCTACGATCTCTTTTTGTATTTTTTGAGCTCCGATAGCTATATGATTCTTCAACGCGTTTATGTTTCTGCCAACTAACCCAATATAGCACAGTCAGGAGGCACCCAGAATATCAATCTTATGCATGCTTACAATAAGTTCCAATGAGTTCACTTGGACCTGTTCCCAGGTAAACGGTTATTGTATTACAGCTGCATTTTGCAAGGCATCAGATGTTGTCTGAGAAAACCACACTTGAGAACAAGGAATCAGAAGCCCAGAAATGCCAACTCTTTTACAGAGTGGATGGACAGTAATGCACATCAAAGCTGGAGAGGACAGTTGAACTGTACATGCTCTCGAGTCCTGTACTTATTGTGGTTAACATTCTTGAAGGCAAGGCCTGATCCACATATTATGTGCCACATTACATATAAAAACTCACTGCCTGGCCAAATACGTGATTCTAGCTTTGTCTTCAAGAATATTAAAGACAATAAGTAATGTAATATGACAACAGTGAAACAGTCACTTAATAAAATATGAAAACAGCATTTAGCTTCTCAAAATACTTTTAATATACAAGTTGCATGTTCCATACCAAGCACTCACATTTCCATGTGTCCTTCCTAGGTGAGAATTACAAACTACAAAAATTTCCAAAACAATGAGTTTCCAACGCTCAGTTCAGGCAACACAGAGCTATTTTGGTACCCCCCAAATCCATCTGTTTCAACACATCAGTGACTATGTAACCCTATGAAGGTTAACAGTCCCTATGTAACAGTCATCACAATGTTGACCAGGTACTCCAGTTCAGGATACTGTTCATTAGTCTATGCCAACCTGGAGCCCTCCAGTTATTTTGGACTTGTAACTCCCACCAACCCCAAGCAGCACCGTCACACTGGTGGAGCTGATGGGAGCTGTAGTCCAAAACGTGGAAGACACAAGAGTCGGTAAAGGCTGCTGTAAGTTAATCATATTTTTAAAAATACATTTAAGAGAACATACCAAAATGAATATATTTCCTTTTCTATACAACTTTACAGAGGTATATGCAAAAGGGGCTATATATACTAACTGAAAACCATTCCAAGTTCTGCTACAAACATGCTCTGAATGTTGCAAAATTTTAAACCGAGCAATTCGTTTCTCAACTATTGCAATATATTAGTGCAAAGGTTTAGGACAGCATGTTTTATGTATCTTTAGAATGCTGATGAAAACAAACATTTTATACTGTGAGATACAGACACACATAGACATGGCATATCTGAAGAGCCAATGCTGCAACCAACCACTGGTTCTAGTGGCCATCTCTCTGTTTTTGGAGTGTAAATAAACAGACTGGAGAAGATAGAGCAACCTGATTCGTGTCATCAGGCTGCTTGCCTTCCAATGGAATAATCTTAACATACAATTTGACACTATTTGCTTGAGCTGGAGAGGTAGGAGTTATTTTATGAGATAAGGCCGAGGGGCTTACCTTTCTTCACTGGCTTAATTAATTATATGCAAAAAAAAAATCCTCCCCCAAATCAGGTTCTCATTGGTTTGGATACACATATCAGTTTATTAATCCAAGATACATATGAGCTTTGTGCCAACACATTCCATCTGCGTGCTACCCTTTCCTCCATTCTATGTGTGCTGTGACCAAAAATTCCCTGTTAATTAACCATGTGCTTCCCATTCTCTGATGGGGTGAAAGACAGGTTGCTTGCCTGGAACTGTGGTTCTTTGAATGGTCATCTGTGCAGTTACACTGCCAACTCCACAGAGCAACATTCAGAACATTTTAGAGTTAGGTTTTGCTGGGAAGCCTATTCCCAACCCTATTCCCAACAGAGCAGGCCAACAACAGCACCTGCAGCAAGGAAGAAGACTGCAGAGGGCAACTCAAAGAAAAACAGTACAGGTAAGCAATCTCTGTGGTTTCTGTGTAGTCCCACGTACAAGAGAATACCAAACTGACTTACCTGGGTAGCATGCTTTCCAATACTGACACAAGCACACATAGGACTCAGTTCAGGACAGGTTATAGTAAAATCCTACATGGATGTAAGCCTCAAACTTTAGTGGGATTTACTCCCAGAATTACAGCCTTAGTCAGTTAGGTTCAGTGGAAATCAGTGGGCTTTCATCACCAACATTTCACATTGATCAGCTTTCTTTGGATTGAGGCCATGGCAATTCACAAATTAAAGACTAAATTATCACATCATACTCAAAATATTCCAGTATCCCTGGATAGATATTAAGTCCATATATACAAGAGGAGGATCAGGATTACAATGTCCCACCCATGCTCCCACCTGATCTTTGCACATTGCACACAGAGGCCAATGTGCAGAGCTGATCTTTGTGACCCTGGCACCTTTATTTTGAGGTGTGCAGATCATATGGATTGTCTTATATGCACTGAGTCTAGGAATGTGAGTTGCTATGCAAACATTCAATATGCAACTGTCAGGAAGAGATAGGGCAGGTATCCCAAAGGGGCTAGGTCCCACCAGTGTAATCCCAGTTCCTCCTCATGGATCCAGATTTAATATTTGCACAGGACTAGTGAATACATTTAAATATCCACATCTAAAATGACTTTGGGAATTACAAAAAAAGTTTCCTTCTTTTACTAGTTTAGTTTCCTGAAAAACAGATCAATCAAATTTGATGCATGCAAAACAAAAAACAAAAACACAGAACGAATCTCCCTCTTGAAACATCATACTCTTCAAAAAATATACAAAGCATAGGACAATCTAGAAAGGTAATAGCACAGTATAAGAGTTTTGTTGTACATCCTAAAGATTTTACTGTATTATTAACAGGTATAGTTTTTCATTACGACTTATAATGGAGCTGTAGTAACACATACTATTTCTCTTCCTGTATTAAATACTTTAAGGAAGAGTGATTCAAACATACTTTAATTTCAAGAACTAAAGAACACTAAAGAAGGGTATATTGCAGGTTCAGGGCTCTTTATAAAATGACATAGTATCAGATCCCTAAAAGATCAAAGTTGTGGGTTTGTACTTTAATGAAGCAGTTCACAGAATTAGGGTTTCACAACAGTGGAGACAGGAAATTAAGATAACCATTTGCTATCAGTACACCAACACACTTTTTTCAGGCCCAGTATGGAACAACTAAAACAGTTAATGAGGCTACAATATACTAAAGAGAATGTCAGGACTTTCCTAAGTGGGACACAACTATGTGGCTATTACCATCTGCCATGTTCTTTAACCCACAACAGCGTATCGTGCACTTAGCAAAATAGGAGCTGCAGATGAGCATCAAGATCAATCTTGGGCAATTACAGAAAAGAGGCATACAGCAAAATGGACATGTTTGTTCTATAAGTATGAATGTTTGGAATCGCCAAATAACCATTTTTCTAGATGTGAAATTGGGTTTAATAACATGGGCAAAACGGTAAATGCGAAGTATTACTACTTGAGTTATCATAATTTTCAGAAGGGCAGCTATGTTGGTCTGTTGCAGTAAAAAACAGTGAGTGTTGTGATACCTTAACAACTCACTAATTATTGTGTATGTTTTTGTGGACCACAGTCCATAGTCAATTCATTATGTGTAAAAGTGTAACCCTTAATTGGCACACATTGAAGATTACATTTTACACACCCTATGGTCTGTGACATAGTAGCAATTTCTTAACAAATACGTTAATCTTTAAGGTGCTTTTGATTTATCGTAATTTCATCATAATGTGAAATAATATGGACCAAGACACATGGCAGAAGTATTCTTGGCATACATCATGTACTTTGGATGCTAATTACCTTTTAATGTGTGTCAGCTTTCTATTTCTGTGACTAAAAGTCAGGTTTTCACACTGCCATTGAGGTCACCAAATATGCCCGATCACAAAAATGCCACCAAGCTCAGGTTTAACTGATTCACATCAATCCTGGTATTAGGGGAAACAAATTTAGCAAGTGAAAACAATTTCTGTCATCAAAATTAACTGCAGTTTGTTGACATAGCAGACAAAAAGCAATTCTGTATGCATCCATGCTTTATAGCCTGAAGTTTTTAATTTCTTAAAGGAAGAACACAGTAAACTATAATACATTCCTCTTCCATTTTACTTAAGCAACAGTTGAAAGTATTTTACCCTAAAGACAAGTTTTCCCATGTATCCAGGGGGAACTTTTGAAACTTACATAGTCTAATAGCTTGCATGGTGTTTAAACTTAAAATAACTGAAGTGATTGCCCAGTATAGATGTACTGCGAATAAATGATGAACAAAATTTAATCCCTTACACTCACAACTTCATTACATTGGATGTGCATTTGTTCTTTGCTTGTTTTTACTGGTGATGTTATGCATGTGTGCTGTGTATGTATTCCCATGTGCCCTTCATTTCTCAAGTAGATGACAAGCTGATGGTCCTATCCCAAGTCTGAGTGGAGACCCAGTCTTAAATCTTTTATGAATCATTGTAGACCTAGGTTTCTCTGACAGATGCCTGAATCTGATTACTGCATCCCTTGCTACCTTCAGCCCTTCTTCTCTACTCTTTGTTGCACTTTTCAACATCTGCTAGAAAAATGGAAGCAGAAAGAGCAGTTGCAGCACAAGCTATAGAAAAAGGACTTCTCCCTCATCATTTTCATTTCTTCAGGCAGAAGAAAAGTTAAGACATACGGTGCACGTTTTAAACTTACACATCCAAGCTACTGAGGATGTACTCTACACAACGTCCAGAACAAATGCTGGGTCCCAACAAACTATCATTAACAGGACAAAATGGCTACTGGAGAGTTAGAAAACTGGGAATCCTACTTATAAATGCAGTTGCACTCTGACTTCCTATCTAGAAGAAAGTTTTCCCCTTTAGACAAAGCATGCAGAATTCAATCTTCTACAAGAGACATAATACAGTAACACAGGATACAAAATGCACTGCTACAGGGAAGCCTGAATCAAAAATAAAATGGTGGTTACCCAGAAGCATATAAAGATTACCATTTCTGAAAGAACTGCTTCTGCTGAAAATATTTCATTCATAATAAATGGTTGTTCCAAAGACCAAAGGGATTTATGGTTTGTTTTTTCCTTAATGGCAACAGCAGTATAGCATTTTGGGCAAACCGATACCTTCACTTCAAATTGCAGAATATCCTTCCTCCTTCCACATCTCTATTATATACTAGCTGTCTCCTTATTGTAGTCCTGCAATGTTAACGTATTATTATTTATTAACATGAACGTAACAGCAGTTCTCTGAGACATGAGTAGGCAGATTTCTACTGGTTAAAATAAATTTAATTTATTTTCAGCCCAACCAGTTTCTTTGTAGTGAGTCATCTAAATTAAAATGTAAATGCAATACAATGTTTCCTTCTGATAACACAGAAGCAGGATACATAAACTCTGAAATATTAAAACACAGCACACCATATTACACATAAAACTTGTTTTTCCATTTCAAGTTTATTAAAACTTTAGCAGTACAAATGATCCAGGCTGTGGATTATCAAAAGACCAAACAGAAGTCCACATTAAAAAAAAAAATGTTCCCCAACATGTCTCTAGAACCTGGAGGCAGAATGGAAACATCAAGTTCATCAAATTATCCATGTCTGTCTTCATCAGTCCCAGCACTCGATTCATGATCAGATTTTTTATCTTTACCACGGGCACGATCTCGCTCCTGATTCTTAGATTTTTGGTTGACCTCTTTTTCTTTTGAGGACCGGGACCTGTCTTTTTCCTTTTCCTTACTCCTGCGTGAAGATGATCTTTTCGATTCCCTGTCCTTGCTGCTTCGTCTTTTCTTTGAATCAGGACTCCTATCCTGATCTCTACTGGACTTTTTGCTCTTATTGGTCTCTGAGCTGCTACTGTCGCGGCTTTTAGAACGCCTTCTTTTTTCAGCATCATCTTTTTTGTGAGAGCTTCTGTGCTCTTGATTCCTATGCCGGTCCTTACTTCGACTTTTCTCCCTCTCAGAGCTCTGCGACTCCTTCCTCCTTTTGTTTTCTTTGCCTTTAGATCTTTCTGGTGTGCCTTTTCTGTCTCTACTTCTTGATCTTCCCCTTCTTTTTACTTCTCTATCTTTGTGTTTTGAATAATCTTTACTTCTGCTGCGGTCTCGTTCTTTACTTCGGGACCTGGCTCTTTTCCCTCTGTCTCCACTTTTGCTTCGCTCTCTGGTCTTACTATTTGAGCTGTGTTTGCTTTTAGATGGTTCACGTTCTCTGCTCTTTGACTTTGTATGCTTTTCCGTATCTTTACTTTTTGTATGATTCTGACCATTAGTTTTAGACCCTCCCCTTTTATTTTTCTCTTTACTTCTGCTCCTTTCTCTTCCTCGAAAATCATTGGATTTCTCTTTGTCTTTCTCTTTCTCATAGTCCCTCTCTTTGCTTCCTGGTCTCACTTTCTTTTCTTCATGTTTGCTGAGTTTTGAGTCCCTCTCCTTACTTTTTGACACGTCTTTGCTTTTGCTCTGACTTTTGGATCGAGCCCTTTTTTTGGCTTTGCTTTTGTTATGCTTGTCTTTGTCCTCCTTCTCAGAATTCCTCCTTGTCTCTCTGTCTTTACTACTAGATTTGTGGTCTGTTGATTTCTTTTCTTTTCCTTCTCTCCTATTTGGGCTCTCAGAAATTTGCCTGTGGTCAGATGCTTTCCTTTCTTTTCCTCTTCCTGGGCTTTTCTGATTTGCAGCATCCTTCTTGTTCTCATTAACTTCACCCCTGGGGAAAACATACCATATATATATATATTTCTGCATTTTGTTATGAAAAGGTGAGAACTAGAAAAGTCAAAGGAGGAAATGCCAAATCAGTGACTGAAGCTGAATCTGCAGATCCAAAAAAATCACAATTATTCTTTATAGTTGTTGCACATATCTCTGCTGGCTAAAAACTGAAGGAAATTCAAGGCAAAAAAGTAACTTATTCTAATTTGTGCATGTTCAAGTCATGCACGTCTGCTGACATGCGTACCGTTTTCAGCAACAAAAGGGGGTGGGGCAGAATGGGCGGGCTTATGCATGTCCCACTCACATGCCTTGGAACACAACCCCTGAATAAATAGGGAGCTGCTTGTACTTAGTATATGCTCTATTGTATACACACTGAAACTGGAAAAGATGTATGTAAGAGTTAAAAAGTAATGCAAATTCTAAGACTACTTCTTACTTATCTCCCTTTATCCATCTTTCTCCGCTTGATATTCTCATTCTTTGAGCTCTTTGCATTTCTTGTCTCCAGTGTGGTGGAGTCTCACTGCGCCTAAAACGATCTCGTGACCTGGATCTTGAAGGTGTTCGGTAGCGCTTTGAAAACAGAAAAAGGTAGATAAAAAATGTGTACCAGTATGCTAAAAACACATTACTTTACCAAAAGGAAAAGAAAAGTTTAAGTTTAAAAGCAAAACAGTCACTCTGAGAATTGCGTAATTTTGGCTACATCAGGCCCCTATCATTCAATCCCAACAATAAGAGTTATGAGATTTTAAATGTTCTTAAGCCAGGCCAGGAGCAAATTTAGGCCTGTGCTTACAAGAATAGCCTACGCTATACCAGTGGAACAGATCTCCTGTTACCCACATTGGTGCAAATAACCTCAGAAAATGAATACTGCATAGAGAGGAGCAAAGGAATGCAAGAGTAATTCTTTCAGATAAAAGAAAGCAGAGAAACCCGTAAGTAATATATTTAAGTCAAAACTGACAAAAGACACTGTGCTCTATGTGTCTAAGAACTGCTCGTCTTAAAATGCTGTTGAGCTGGTGGGCAGCTTACTGGAATTCAAAACAAAAGCTTGCAAAAACTCGCTCTTTCATTAAATAACTAGTAGCAGCATTCAGGGTTGGTGGACTCTTGTGTCTGTGGGAGACATAGTGATAGATACCCTACACAGCTCTGCCATTCATCCCCAAAATCCTCTCCAAAACCTCTTCAGTGTATCCATAAAAAAGGAACAATTACTCTTAAATGCTGTTATGGAACAAGATCACTGTATTACAGGGTAAAAGCTGTCAAAATGCACAGAATAAATCACAAGAAAGGACATACCCGTGGTCCTCTTCCTTTAATTTTTCGTCCAGATCTAGTCACTAGCAGCCTTCTCTGATATGTTGATTGACAGTTTGATGGGTTACTAGAAAGGAGGAAAAAGACATCACTGTAGTTCTGGGATGGTTCTAAAGATGACTCTAGTGCATGCTCTAGTTATCTCCTGCTTGGACTACTGCAATGCGCTCTACGTGGGGTTACCTTTGAAGGTGACTCGGAAACTGCAATTAATCCTGAATGTGACTGGGGAGTGGCTGCCGAGACCATTTAACACCAGTCCTGAAATATCTTCATTGGCTCCCAGTATGTTTCTGAGCCCAATTCAAAGCGTTGGTGTTAACCTTTAAAGCCCTAAACGGCCTTGGTCCTGTATACCTGAAGGAGCGTCTCCACCCCCATCATCTAGCCCGGACACTGAGGTCCAGCGCCGAGGGCCTTCTGGCGGTTCCCTCACTGCGAGAAGTGAGGTTACAGGGAACCAGGCAGAGGGCCTTCTCGGTAGTGGCGCCTGCCCTGTGGAACGCCCTCCCAGCAGATGTCAAGACAATAAAAAACTATTTTTTAAAAGACAACTAAAGGCAGCCCTGTTTAGGGAAGTTTTTAATGTCTGAAGCTGTATTGTTTTTAATATTCGATTGGAAGCCACCCAAAGTGGCTGGGGAAACCCAGCCAGATGGGTGGGGTATAAATAAATAAATAAATAATTCATTTCTTCTATTATTATGTATTTCTGAAGCTCTATCAAACTGTACATTTCCACAAACAGTCTGCTAAATACTCACTTCATGGCAAAAGATTCAAAAGTACAACTGTGAGGATTAAAAAGACAGTGGGTAAAAGCCAACTGTGATCATCTACCAATTGAAGAGACACGATGTAACAGATTACTCTTCCTGCACCACCCAAATTTTCTTTAGAGGGTTGGGGGTGGGGAAAGGAACAGGAAGCCTGCTTGCATGATATAGGACAACCTTACCAAAAATTGATTTCAAAACACCTCCATCCTAAGGAAATCTCACTGAAATCATTGGCAGTAGGCCTGGGAAGATTACGGTCTTTTTTCCTTGCAAAATCATTTAATAGATCCCATTGCAGTTAAGCATGTGTAAAAGTGCCAGCGCGTAGTAAATAACCGAAGTCAACATCAAGGTAATTCACATGGACCACAGCTTGGGGTTACTCGTAAGTCTGCAGTTATGATCAAGTACAACTTTACCTCTCCCTTTCCTTCTCTCTGCTCTTGGTCTCTTTTTCCTTTTCATCCACTTTAGGAGGACTTTTTCTCATAAGGAATCTGTTTTCTGGTACAGGAGGAATCTCTTCAGGACGGACTGTGGAAAGTGGCTGTGATTCAGGATTTTCTGTCTCACTTTCACTGGCTGAGCTTCATTGATAAGAGAACAAAAGTTATATGCATCTGTTTTAAATGTTACAAATGTTTCTTTTGAAATTCGCATATGCCAAAACAGGAACTTCAAATGCACTATTTTTAAGAAACTATTGTTGAAGATGAAACAAATGTATTTAATATTATAATATGTGTTCTGCCAATATAAGATAAAGTTGAGACTTCAAAGGCAAAAATCTTTTTGCACCAGGTCTATAATGAAAATATATCCCTTCTTTAAGCTAAATCCATTCCCCAAATACCTGTAGTAAAACAAAGAAAAGGAAATGTCACTGTCATGAGGCTGACTCTGTGGCAGCACCTCACCCATCTAGCCATGCCTGCATGGTTGAACCTAAGCTAGTAACTACAGCAGGGGTAGGGAACCTCTGGCCTGCAGGCCAAGCCTGGCCCCCCCAGGAGGTTGGCCCATAAAGCTAGCTTCCCCAAACTATGTCCACCTATCCATCAGCTGACGTGAATAGATTCTGTCAGGTGATGGGTGGGATTCAATCCTGCAGGGATCTGCTTTGCAAACATGTTCTCTGTGCTCCCAGAGCATACCCCTGCAGCCAGCAAGACTGTACCAGTCGTTCCCTACAAGCCCTTTTGTAAACAGTCCTGCCCTGCTTTAAATCTCCAAAAATCGGAGGTATAAATAGCAGTGTGGGTTTGTTTGCAAAAAGGCTTTCAAACAGCCTCGTGCTGCTCTTTGAATCAGGGCTTCATAGCACAACACCATCTATACTGAAAGAAGCAGACTAAAGGCTTGTTTTATTGTATTTTTAATATTTTATTGGAAGCCACCCGGAGTGGCTGGGAAAACCCAGCCAGATGGGCGGGGTATAAATAATAAATTATTATTATTAAAAACATGGTGCAGAGATAAGAATCTGGCATGCCAGATAGAAAAAATACCCCACCACCAAAGGGGAAAAAACTGCTTACAGAGGGAAAAGATTATTGTTGCCTGGGAATACTTAATTCTGTAGCAATGATAAAGCTAAGGGAACATGATATTAGTGCCTGGATAAGAGAGCACATGAACTGTAGGCAAGATAGGCTCTGAGCTTTCAAGTGCTGGATAAAAGTATAAGTATTTCTGACAGGACTATATAAACAATAAAAAGTTAAGTCCTTCACAAGAGTAAACGAACAAAATAAAACATCCTGGTTGCCTGTTGTTTGTGATCCAATGTTGTGTCAACAAACATAGTATGGGGTGAGCTAATGTTGGGCAGATTTGTTCCACTGTAAAAAAAAAAATCAAAAACCCATTAAAACTAAATATTTCAGATTTCATTCTAAACTCCACCTGTACAGATATGCAAGAATTTTTATTTTGATGGAGAGCATGTTGGAGATTAACAAAGAACTATATTATTTTTGTAAGACATGAAAATGACATGGAAGAATGCACTACCGATTCTTCTGAGCCATTTTCATCTAACTGTAGCACAGGAAGGTAGGTGTTGTTGTTTTTTCAAGTCTCAAAAGTAAATCTCTCCCCGCAGCCTGCCTGCATGTACCTCTTCTTGCTCTTCTTTTTCTTCTTCTTCTCTTTCTTATGTTTCTTGGAATTTTTTTTGTGCTTCTTTTTCTTCTTCTTTGTTTTTTCCCCAGAAGCACTTTCAGAATCAGATGATGAATCAGAAGAAGATTTTGAATCACTTGAACTTTCAGAATCGCTGGATGAGGATGATGACTTGCGTCTTTTCTTCTCTTCTTTCTTGGCTTTAAATTAAAGCAATATACAAGCAGTTACCAAACAAAACCTTCAAAAGCTTAGGAGAACAGGTATGTTTTCACTGTGGGTTAGAATTCCATTAATGTTGTGACCACCCGCACATCCAGCAGGAGGGAATGCTGCAGCTGCGGTACCATTATAAAGAAGGGACTATCCCATGTTGTTACAGAATGAGCTACACTCGCAGGTGGCACAGTGAGAAGACTCTCCCCAACTTTATTCAGGCAACGTTTTTTGGCCTTTGTTCTTGGTCTTCCCTGGGGTCACCAAGCAAGAGGCCCACTAAAGCATGGAAGCTGGGTTAGGAGCAGGAACTCACTCAGCTCACAATGAAACAATTATCACAGCAGGAAAAAAGGGGAGGTATCTGAATGCTTGGAGAAACTCCTCTAATTCTGCTGAGTAAACAAACCAGCCAAATGAGGGCTAAGCATACTCAGGAGCCATGGTTGGAAAAGCAGGGGAAAGAGAATAGAAGTGGCTGGATATATTGAAAGAAGCAGGCTGAAGGCTTCAAAATGTCGTCTATCAGCCTGAAAGCGTCCGAAGTGACTTGCTAAGAGTGGGAAAGGAGCACCGTAGGGGAAGGGGGAGGATAGAGGAATTGAAGCAAGAGACGACTGAGGAAGAACACATATATAAGGAAGGCACAAATAACCATCCCGTTGTTTGGATAGGTGATTTCAAGGCTCATATTTCCTGATACACATCAATCTCTGCAGGCAGGGATGGAAGAGAGTTGGCCATAGAAAACCAAAATTCTAATCTGTAATGGAGCTGGGCAAAAGAACAAGTGGTGAAAAGCCAATGATGGAGAGGTGAGAGCCAAGTGAGAGGCATGGAGGAAGGAAGAAGACAACAAGGAAGATCTCCTAAGAAAACCCTCTAACTCTCAAGAGGAAATCAGAGCTATAATCCCCTGGGAAGGCATTTTTTCCTTCATGGGGAGACAAATTTTGTTGCAGGTCCCATTTGCCCCCTCCAACAGCAAAATAGGTGCCTATCAGTTTTGAAGCAAACCAGAGCTGCACACAGATATTAGTAGCTTCTACATACAGAAGGGGCTCTGTAGGTGTTCAGAAATATATAGTTAGCAAATTGAAATAAAAAGCAAAGAAAAAAGCTCCCAACATGTTCAGTGATCTCCAGGAGCCGCAGAATTCCAAGTGCTTGGAAAAGGCGGGTGTGTGTGTGTTTCACCTCCTTTAGCTTTTAACAACCTAAGCACTGTGAAAGAGGGCATAACTTGTTATATGCAGCTCTGATGAACAACATGCATCTTTAGGCACAGAGGCCGACTGCAACATTTTGCTTCAAGTTTCACTTGTTACCGTATTTTTCGTCCTATAGGGCGCACCGGCCCATAGGGCACACCTAGTTTTTTTTGGGGGGGGGAATAAAGGGGGAAAAATATTTTTCCCCCAGGTGCGGGGCTGGGGCGGGGGAAGCCCGAGCTTCCCCTGACCCCAGCCCCCAGAACAGGCTGCTATACGCAAGCCTAGGGAGCCCGGCAGGAACTCCCGCCGGGCTCCCCAGGCTTGCGGATATCTGCCCGAAGCCCGGGCGCGCTCTCTGCAAGCCTAGGGAGCCGGGCGGGAACTCCCGCGGACTCCCAAGGCGTGCGGATAGCTTCCTGAAGCCTGGAGAGTGAAAGGGGTTGGTGTGCACCGACCCCTCTCGCACTCCAGGCTTCAGCGAAAGCCTGCATTCGCCCCATAGGACGCACACTCATTTCCCCTTCATTTTTGGAGGGGGAAAAGTGCGTCCTATAGAGCGAAAATACGGTATTTATTTAATATACTCTTTGTTACTACTACTTCAATGACAACAATTTACAGAACCGAGATTCCCAGTTACCAATCTTCTGAGTTAGATCTGACACACCTCTTACAAAACTAGAAAAGAGACAACCTTTAATAACATTTTAATAAAAGAGACAACCTTTAAAAACATTTCACTCTTACCTTTGGATTTTTGGATTAGTTCGCCACAACTTAGTATTCGTACTTCAGCATAAGGTTTACTAGATGCATCTGTTTTCTGGTTTTCTATTTCTCTTACAACATCTTGACCCGAGATTACTTGTCCAAACACAACATGAAGCCTAAATGATTAAAGCTTAATTTTAAAAGCTGACTAATATCTATGTCACACTGAAATTTTTAAGTAGCTATCCAATTAACTTTTCCAAATGCAAGTAAGATACAAGGGCACTTACCCATCAAGATGAGGGGTAGGTTTGGTTGTTCTTTTGATTACATCAAGGGAAAGAATGACAAAATATAGTATTAGTATTACGGAGATAAACTTGTTGTATTAAGCCATAAATGAGAAGATATAAACAGATTCAGGAGGCATTAAACTGTAGTTCAAATATCAATACATTACGAAGTTGCAAACTTTAATAGTATCTTAAATGTGAAGAATTGTTACAAATGTATGCGGGTTACAGTATTTAATCCCCCTCACCTCATGTTTCGGCCAATTCTCACTACAGCGGTACCTTGGTTTACAAACAGCCTAGTATATGACCATTTTGGATTACGACCAATTACAACCTGGAAATGAGTACTCCGGGTTGCGGGGTTTTTTTTTTTGTTTTTTGGTATACAACGGGCCCTGGCTGCAGGAGGCCTTCGTATGTGCCACCTGCGCTGCCCAGATCGGGCCTCCTGCCTCCCTAAGTGGCGCCATGCTGAGGGGCTAGGCCTCGCCACCGGCACTGCCCAGATCGGGCCTCCCTAAGTGGTGCCGCGCTGCGGGGCTAGGCCTCGCCACCGCCACCCGGATTGGGCCTCTGCCTTTTTTCCTTCCGCATCTTCCCTTTCGCCGTTCAATCTGAGTCCCCCCTGATCGTAATTTAAGCCTTTTCCCCTCCTGTGTTTTCCCTTTCGCCATTCATCTGAGCCCCCCCGATCGTAATTTAAGCCTTTCCCCTCCTGCTTCTGCCCTTACGCCTCTCATCTGAGTCCCCCCCCCATCGTAATTAAGCCCTTTTTCTTCCCGCGTCTGTCCTTTCGCTGTTTATCTGAGTTCTCCCATCATAATTAAGCCTTTTCCCCTCCCCCTTCTGCCCTTACACTGCTAATCTGAGGTCCCCCCCCAACGTAATTAAAGCCTTCCGTTTCTGATTGCAGTGTTCTGAGGTGATATTTGGTGCTTTTGTTTTTGCTATTTTTTGTTTTTGTTTGTTTGGCTTTTTCATTTATGTGTCTGTGGATTGTTTTTCGTTTATGAGTGAGTGAGTGAGGAAAGCCCCCCCATCCAAACAATGACTATCATCAGTGCAGGTAAGAAAAAAAAATAATTTTCATTTTTATCAACTACAATACTGTTTTATTTATTTCTTAGTACAGTACCTTGATTATTGCTTTCATTTTATGGATCAATAGTCTTGATAGATAGTAAAATTCATGCGAAATTTTTGTTTTAGGGGTTGCTTTTCATCGTCTGGAATGGATCAATCCATTTTCCATTACTTTCTATGGGAAAGCACGCCTTGGTTTAAGTCCGCTTTGGTTTAAGACCAGGCTTCCGGAATGGATTAAGGTTGTAAACCAAGGTACCACTGTAGTATGATACCAGAGATGGGAACACTGAGGTTTTATTACAAACGAGGAGTATATAAATGTTGTGAAATAAAAAACAAAACTAAACAAAAATATGTCCAGATGTTCCTGCATAAAAAACAAATGCCCCCACATAAAAAATTATATGTCAGGAAAATAGCTAACTAGAATCCTTTTGTCTATCATCTAGTTTTCTTTTTGAAGGGAATATTTTGCAAGGAGAAACATCCAGTGATGTGAGCCCTCACTTGTAGTCAGAAGTGAAAGTTTACACACAAGTTCATCACCTTGCTGAAAATTTAGCCTCCTCCCACCAAAAAACAAAACAAAACCCCGAGAGGACATGCTGCCAACCTTCAGAAGTATGATCCTCCTGGTGCGTTGTTGAAATTATACCCCTAATACATAAATTTTATTTATGATCAAGCAAATGAATGTTTTGAGTATACATTTATTTCAGAAAAGGTAACTTAGTTTATAAGAACTATACTAATAAGTCAACGTTTATAACTATTCCTCTAAAAGCAAGTAACTGACCAACTAAGGTGGCACAGAAAAAGGGTGACAAGGCAAAAAGGAAAAACAGGGAACCGCAAGCAGGCAGAGGAGGGCAGAGAAAGATAACATTTCTGAAGGTACAGTCCCCAATATGTTACCCTACCTACAACTCCATTTAACTGAATCTGGTAAACCCAAGGTTGACTCTGATTGAAGTTTATCGAAGAAAAAAATATTTAATATTTTCATTGCAAAGACTTGTCTCTTTCTGCTGTCTGAGCAATTCTGTGCAGAAACTATTTCACTCCTGGAATGAGGAGCGTGTAGGGCTCAAGTCTTCACCCTTCCTTCCTCCACACTAAGGGCATACACTGATGAGTAAACCAGGGATATGCTACCTACTATCCACACATAGACGCAGAGAATAGAACATACAAATCACAAGCCTGTTTCTTATTTAACCACATACAGCACCTTGGTGTTAAGAGTAGCATCTGAACTGGCCCTTTATTACTCTTCAGTAAGGCTTGGTGTAACTAAAACATAGCTTGCTCTGACAGATTTTTAAATCTTATACTAAACGAACACTACCACTTACAGCCTACTTATATTCTGCAGTGGTCACTGGCTACATACAGAAGTCTTGACTATAAACTCATGTTCAGTTTTTCATCAAGAAAACACACAGCAGAGTGCATTCCGACTGCCAATAGTCTACCATCCAGGCAATGATTAGGCCCATACCTCATAGCTTCTATACTGGTAAAGTACCAGGTGTTCCCATATGTTAGGAGATAGTGATAACTACTCCCAAATTAATCCTGATTCTAAACACGGCAGGGCTAAATAGTCAAACTTATCCCATATAATCTTCTATATGCTATCTCCAATAAACATTTAAGAGCAAGTTAACTTTGATATCTTTTAAAAGTAGTCATGCTTTCTAAATGGAAAAGGAGTTAGCTGTTTCACCTGTTCCAAGCTCTAAAATGTAAACTGTAAGGACTACCATCCCAATGCTGAAGAAACACAGTGGAGCTGCATGATACTTACATAAAAAACTGTGAACCATTTGTATCTTTCCCTCTGTTGGCCATTGAAAGGAGAAATTCTTTGTTGTGCTTTACAGCAAAGCTTTCATCTAGAGAAAGCGTTCCAATTACTTCAAAATTCCAAGTAGGACCTTGCATTGGCATTTCTTTAGAATTTCAAATTAGGATTGTCAAAATGCACAAATGTATCATTATAGTGCCAAACAGCATTCAAATAGATAAAAATAAAGACAGAGGTATACTATATAATTCTCAGTCTAATGCACAAAAATGTAAATACTATTTACATATAGACTCAACTATATGTCAAGTCAAGACCATTATATAAGATATAAATATATACGTGAACCTGTCTCTTGATATTCAGTACAGCTGCTTAGTAAGACCAGTGCATTTTAAATTCATTCCAATTAGCACAAGCAAACCAGTGTGTTTTTGTGCAAAGGAGCTCACTGCATGTCATTTATAAAAGTGTAAAAAGTGACAGAAATAATGTGGGGAAAGAAAGCTTGCAATAAACAGACAAAAACAAACTTAAAAACACCTATGTACAAGGTGGGCAATTTTGAAATTTAAAACTAAACGTAACAGAAATTCTATTTATTTGTGCAAATGCAGTCTTGTGCAATAGACTTGCTTATAACAGCTCTGAACCATAATAGCTTGATCGTCATGAAAACTTGAAATAAAAGTATTTTAATTGTCATCACACAATTCAAGTTTTCTAAATCATAAACTGAACTGGTTGGCCAGTAAGCATCAACAAACAGCTACCTTGCAAAGGCAAAGTGTAAGACCCCATTCACTAGCCTGCTTGGGCCAACTGCTACTTAGCATTAATCTCTCAGCCAGACTGCCCAGTCATCTTAAAGATCAGTCTGATGACTGGGATGATGTTCTATTTTCTCTCTTAGGATAATGAAGTGTAAGGAAGATTGAATGGAGGGTTGTTTTGGTTAGTCACCATCAATGAGATGGTGAAGGGTGGGTAAAGGGGAAGAGAAGTTAGATGAATATGAGATACAGAGTTATCAAGCTTCTTAATAAGAGAACTACCACCTCAATAGAAAAAAGAGGAGATCCATTTGGGTAGAAGAGGAGATGTAAGACAGGGAATTGTAATAATAATTATAATTCCTGAAAATTCTACAATAGCACTCTGAATCCCTAGGATAGGGCACTCTATGACCTGTAATAAATAAATTTGCCAGCAGTTTTGGGGCCAAAAAATGCAATTTGCCTAATGGACATATTCTTAAACCAATGACTGTGACTGGGAGTTGCAGGCTAACCTGATAAAAGACTATGCTTACCTTCAAAAAAGCCACCATAAATTGATTCTCCTCCTCTCCCATTTCCTTGTATTAAAAGAAAAATGTTATTACAAATGAGAATGGGACAATGGGATCTTACCATTAGGGATTCTTTACTGATGAGTCATTGGAGCTAGTCAAAGAGGGTTACAGCATATCCTACTAGCTGAGACAGGAAACCTCTATTGCATAGATGCATGCTATCTCCTCCCATTTCAAGAGTGCCTCGAGTTTCCTTTAAATTTAATAACAACATCAACTACCTGACCTACAAGAACCATCAGGTTCCAGGGTGGGTTATAACCATGTAAAATTCAGAATTAAGAACAGTTGAAACAGATTCATCGCAGGTATAGGGTAGGTCTGTGACTGGCTCCAGAGCCCATCAGAAAAATAACAATTGTGTATCATATAAATTCAAAGTTAAAGCTATCACAGAAAAAAATCTTACTAAAGGGAACCTAAATTTTAATGGAGCTACGCAAATCTTAAGATAGACTTTCATGAAGCAGAATGAGGCTATTCTACATTTTCTTTATATTTCTGTTAGTAAATCTAGTTGTTTTTAAGAAAATGAATGGGCATTATTATTTTAGTCACGTTCATTATAAAAGCACTTGGCTTCAAGAAATTACGAAAATGCATTCTTGAAACACATTTCCATTTAATAGTCCTGTCAGATGCCTCATGTGCATCTCACTGAGAACCACAGCTTATCTTAAAACCATCATTTATTCGTGAATGTGGCCCTCTTGTAGCTTCTTCCTCCCCACACCCAACCTCTGTATGACATCCACATAAATCAAACGAGTCATGCTAAGTATTGCTGTGTCATCTGAATATAGACTGTGGTTTGTCTGAAAGACAAAAACCACAGCCTGGACAAAACATGGGGGGGGGGGCATGTAAGAGGCCATGTGCCAGCAAGGAGAGATGGGACAAATTTACCATTAAATCATGGTAAGTGACAAGCTAAGTGACATGCAAACCAGAGCATTCTATCCTGACAGAGAAGCTGCAATATCAAGTGCTTTATTCAGGAGTAAGAGAGCATGACCATTCAAATAATAACTTCATACACATTTGTATACTCGGCAAATACTATTTGATATCATTTAGCCAATGTCATACCTTCACTGAAGTCACCTCCTTGGATCATAAAATCTTTTACAACTCTGTGAAACAAACAACTCTTGTAATGTAATGGCTTCTGAGTTGATTTTCCTGTACCTTTTTCACCTGCAAGGGGGGGGGGAGGAAAGTTAACCCATTAGCTTTTAATGGAGAACCCCTCAGGTACAACAGAAGTACAACTGGAAATCAGCTCTTGATCTATCTGACTTGGACATTCTACTTGTTGAAGCCTATAAAAGAAAAAAAAAGTTGCAATATAGTACCAACAGAAAGGAACCCCCTTATTTACTACATTTAACTCAAATCATAAGGACACTGAAAAGAAATACTATGGGGTACATCCAAAGTAGCACTATGTCATAGTCCTGTCAGCATAAGGATGTCTGCTTTTGCAACAGGAATTCCACCTGCTCCTCACAAGCTTTAATGACTGTGCAATGAGGGGAATTGTGGTAGGTACTTTTTTGCATCCTTGCATTAACCACACCTGACAAAATCCCCTCTTCTATGCAATTGCTGAAGCTATAGGAGCCCTGTCCATTTCTGTATCTGGTGGTACCGGTGGTACCTTGAGTATGATCCACTTGTGTGTCGAATGCAGCAGTTCAAACCCCCAAAGGCAGAAAACAGTCTTCAATTCCGACTTCACCATCCTCATCAATGTACTATGTCAAGCTGTGTTACTTTACACTCAAGTTCATGGATGGCAAGTGAAGAGTGACACATATAACCCCTGCCCTTCTTTAGGCTTGGAAGAAGGCAGCAATTCTCCCTATCCTGGCACTAAGCTTGAGAAGCACTTAGAAAGCACTGGGAAGTTTCACTCGTTTTTCAGTGCCTCCAAAGCTCAGTGCATGATTAAGGAAGAGCCAAGTCGGTAGCGCTCATAAATTTGGGCTAGCTATGAAAGCCAGCCAAAATTTGTAGAACTATGATGGATTAATTAATTCTGCATATATGAATTTATACCAAAATATAGCAAATTGTGTATCTTCATTTTCAGTACACAAGGAGACGAATATCAAAGTCATTCCTTTCATATTTTATTACCAGGATTTTCTTGGTATACCATTTGGAGGAACCAGGAACAATTCAATTTGGGCTACATAACAAATTATTCAAGTGAGGAAATATACAAACCTGTACAAAGGCAGCGAAAGTTCTCACATGTCTTTGGGCAAACATCTGAAAACAGCTCAAAGACAACTCTGCCAGCTAAAAGAAAAAGAACGAATGAATAAGTCATCAATAAAGTAATATCGTCGCGCTTAAGACGCACTTGTTTCAACTGGACATAGCTGTGTGTTATCAGGTTTAGGCCAGAAGCATCACTCTTACCAGGTGTGTTGTTGATGGCGATGTCAAAAAAGCAACGAGGTCTCTGGCTTTTCACTCCCATGGCTTCAAATTTTGAAGACTGTTAACAAAGAAGCGAGTTCTATTAAATTTGAAGACTTTTAAAATGAAAACTTCAAATATGAAACTCTAACAAACAATAAAAAATAGGGAAGAAAGTAGTCCCCCCCCCTTTCCATGTAGAGATAAAGTTATGCAAACAATGACAGTGATGAACACAAGTATATGTACTTTGGAATGGTAGGCTACTGAGTATGGCAGACATGACAACATAGGGCAAGCTGAAACCAAGTGGCTCTCAACTCCAAAGTTCATACCATGTTGGGGATAAATTACAAGTAGAAGGATGAAGGAAAAGAGTAGGGATGGGGCAGCAAATAAACACTTGGTGCCTCCTTTTCTCCTCCAAGTCATTCTTAGCTACTTATTCCAGAAATATATCACTCTCCACCCAGCCAGCACCAATGCAATCAGAAACACTGCATGGCAGATATTCTAATAGATGGAGACAGGATGAGAGAGTAGCCATCAGTTTCTAGCAATTTGATTTTCCGTTAAAATTTTCCAATAACCTGAACTGACTGGGATCTGAGTTACTATGTTTGTATGTTTATTTAGTAAACAGAAAATATTAGTAAACCATCTTAAGTTTTACATGCTGTATAAATATCCCAATGTTTTCCGGTTTATTGGAAATATTTTGTTGCGGGGGGTTCAATAAAGCATGATAAAGTGCTTTATTATATGTATCAACATCTGAAAAATTGCAGTATTGAAAATGCCCAATTTGGCTGTCCTTTATCATACTAATTACTGTTATGAAACAATGCACTTTCATAAATAGGGGATAGTTTTTAAAAGAATATAACATTTGACACTTCTACCCCACATCATTATCAGTACAACCCGAGTCTACACCAAATATGAACAGCTGCACCTTCAAAGCACTGGAGCAACTATGAAGTTTTAACTATCGTTATTAAACTAGTGATACATAGATGCTAATAAATGCATTGGCCAGGCCAGCCTCATAGCCCGTTATCTCCCCTAATTTGGTCTTCATAGAGCATTCATAGCTCTCAAGAGTTGATACAATTACAGTGGTACCTCAGGTTACATACACTTCAGGTTACATATGCTTCAGGTTACAGACTCCGCTAACCCAGAAATAGTACCTCGGGTTAAGAACTTTGCTTCAGGATGAGAACATAAATTGCGCGGCAGCGGCGCAGCAGCAGGAGGCTCCATTAGCTAAAGTGGTGCTTCAGGTTAAGAACAGTTTCAGGTTAAGAACGGACCTCCAGAACGAATTAAGTACGTAACCAGAGGTACCACTGTATGCAAAGCAAAGGAGGTGCAGAAGGAAGAAGGCATTAGGATCTATGATTCAGAATCCGGCCACAAAGACTGAGACCCTACCAAACTTCCTAGCTTGCCTATACTATTTGGAACGGTCCATCCCTACAGAGGTGGGTCCAGAGTAGGCTTCATACTGCAGACTCACAGTAATGTTCAGAATGTTATTTACTACTTAAGCATAATGCAAAAGGGAAACTGATAATGGAACATAAAACAATATAACATATCATGATGATGTCAGCCATCTTATTAACAAGTATTAAGCATGAAGACCTTACTCAAATTAAGGTCTATAAAACTATGGGCTGGTTCAGATGTCAATGGTTCTAGTCCTACAAATTATACGTTTTTCTGGAACAGGAACAAGCAACAGGCTTCTCCCTCATTTAACTGGTGTTAGAGAGCACATCCTGGTTTGCAAACCCAGTTTCTCAGGACACTTAAATATGAAAAGACCAAAGATTACCTGCACAAAATAGGTGTCATGCCCCTCCTTTAACTGTTTTTATGTCAAAATATGGCATGACATGCTCTATTTGGCATGGTATTATTTGCCAAAATATCTGAGGGCAGCAGAACACAGAAGCTAAGGAATTTCCAGCATGGACATGTAACTTGATACTGGCTGAACATTGATGCTTATATGTCCTTTGGAAAATGCAAAACAGGGAAATTTAGGTTTTTAAAAGCAGATTACGGGAATTCGAAATACAAACTAGCTACAGACCACAAACACAAATTTACCCTTCTTACATTTTATTTTTTCATTAGTCCGATCATCAATTCACACTTCCTGAGATTTTTACTCTTTAAAGTTATAATGCAAGGAAACCAGAAATTAGGAGAAAATTTGGTCTTGACACCTTGTTAGAAGCATCTAAGAGTATACCAGCCACTTTCCACTACTAAAATGCACGACAGAGATGGTCCGGAGGGTGGCAACACAAGCATGGGCCTTTTCTGCAGTGGCTCCCCATTTCTGGAATGCTCTCCCCAGGAACATTCAGCTGACACCTTCATTATACACCTATAGGCACCAGGCGAAAACATTCCTCTTTAATCAGGCCTTTGGCTGATTGATCTCCAATGCCCTTTTAAATGTGTTGTCGAAGGGGGGATTATTGGTTTGTTTCTGTTCTTATTTTTATTATGTATTTTGTTTCTTATATTGTAATTTTATGTTGTGAGCTGCCGAGAACTACGCTTATAGGGCAGTATTCAAATTTAATACACAGGACAAATAATAAATAATACAAGGGTTGCCAGAATAAGGAATGTGGCAGTCTCTTAAGAATTACAGTGGTACCTCGGGTTACAGATGCTTCAGGTTACAGACTCTGCTAACCCAGAAATAGTACTTCGGGTTAAGAACTTTGCTTCAGGATAAGAACAGAAATTGTGCGGCAGCGGGAGGCCCCATTAGTTAAAATGGTGCTTAGGGTTAAGAACGGACCTCCAGAACGAATTAAGTTCTTAATCCGAGGTACCACTGTATATTACTGCCAGAGTGCAGTGGTTCATGGCATCTACATGCCTTGTTCCTCTTTCTCTCACTTCCTAAACCTGATCACATGGCAGTTGCACAATGCCAACTTTGCAGACTCTCCACTTTATCTCAGAATTACAAACCACTTTTTTTGCTTTGGTGTGTATACAACTAGCATTAGAAAAATCACCACTTACACTGCCTTACTAAGCCTTAGTAGCATAGTACCCTCCAAGTTCCTCCAAGACATAGGGAAAACTGTGACCATTCTTTAACAATAATTTCTAGATAATTACGGTTAACTACACGATCTTTTGCAGATAATAAACAGCAAACCCTTAAGATACAAGCATTCTCTGAAAACACTACTCGTGTTGTTGCTTTTTAAAGGATTCATGTTCAAATTTAGATTTCTCTAAAACCCTTGAAACTAGGAGCCCTCTCCATGAAATACACAAATATTGTATTTTGCAACTGACATTTTCAGACAATTTACTTGATATACACAACTGAATCCAACTGCCATATTAAAATTTCTATTTTGTAAACTGTGGTACTGAGCAGACAAGGGACAGTATAAGGTAATGAGGGGAGGACAGAGAAGTGTGTAGAACACTCATCTTTCTTCCTCTCTGATTACCAAAGGATTGATTAGAGTCAAATGATTAGATATTACATTTTCAAAATGTATCCTTTAGCCAGGAGAGCTAGAAAGTTTGCTCCTTTGAAACTGAAAGCCATGGACTGATTTTCATACAGTGAGTTATTGTTTTATGAGACTATTATATGGAAGATGTATGACTTTGCTATTAGGGATTGTTGTCTCAATGTTTCATGGTAGATAAGGAAACAAATACGAACTAATGCCCCTTGGTAGTTAATTGTTCACTGTGGGAAACCAAACGCACCAATCTCATAATAGCTGTAATTTATTATTCATGTTTGCATATTCATGTTTGCATAAATGGACCCAACATGCTGAGAAGTCAAGTTCTGCAAGGGATTCCAGATGTTCTCAATGTTCTTCACAATAAAGAAAAGCGGTCATGACTATGAGTTCCCCATACAGAAATACTAACCTAAGCATTGCTAGCAACTTTGCAGAGTGACAGATGGAAGGAACTTAGATGAAAGGCTAAGAACCATTTGAAAGCACAAGGCAGATGTTCCTTCAACAAACTGTTTTGTCTTTCGAACTAACACTCCATCTCCGAGAGGCCTGTAGGATGATCAGCAGCAAGGAGTTGCAGCATGTGACACTCCTACCTTTCCCTAGAGGTGAAATGCAAAACCGTATCAAGGCAGAGCTGTGTAGGTAGAACAATCCAAGCCCCTCTGTGCTGAGTGGTGGTGGTGGGGAGGTTTGGACTGGGCAGAGGTGCCCCTCCGTCAGCCTCCTGCTAGCCACCAGAGGCATAGAGCTCCCCCTTTGTCCACCAAGTGTGCAGTGCCACTGACAGCAGGTGGAAAGCCCTGAAACAGCAACTAGAGGAAAGTCCCACACTGAGACCAATCACTGCACCAGCTCTAATCTGGCCCAGTAATCCCACAACCCACCTTGTGCCCTGGTCATTGTAGTTGTCGGGCTGTACATTTAGCAGAGCTTTCCAAAGTGTGTGTCACAACATGTTAGCGTGTTGGCTGCAGTGTGTCGCGTGAACGAACCCTGTGCTCCTCCAGGGGCTGGAAAGGGGTTTGTTTAACCTCTGGTTTGCTAGTAAAATTGAATTACTGTCGCAAAATGATGCATGTCTAAAAAGTGTGTCACCAACATGGAAAGCTCTGATTTAGCAGAAGCCTCACCACTCCATAAATCCTGTTGGGCTGGGGAGAGGAGTTTGGATTATAAGTCGCACCATCTCACAGCATGGACTTCAGTTGTGCCACACCTGCCAATAAGCTCATAGAAAAGAGTATGGGGAAAGGAAAGGATTAATTCAAAATCTACATCACAGAAGGGTCTGATCTGTTTAGCAGACTACTGTGTTTACAGAAGTGTGGCCTGCACTCTATGTGGAAGTTTTCTTTTCCAAGGGTTAACTTTTAAGTTCCCTGCACATCAGAACTGTATGTGTCAGCATCAAGATTTACTGTAGCCACCAATATTAAACAGAGGAAAATACATATCCTTGCTTTGAGTTCAGGCAGCAAACCTATGCACATATACATTGGAGTAAATCCTACTGAACTCAGTAGGACTTCCTTCCAAGTAAATATGCATAGGACTGGGTTGTTAGGTTGCTAACTCTGTATTCAGTGCAATCAGTGGGATTCTTTCCCTAGCAAACATGGCTTGGATAGGAAAGTTTGTAAACAATGGATTCCCCACAGGTCAGTCACCATTTTATATGTGTGTGTGTCAATGTAACACAATAAACAAATAGCTCCTCAAACACAAGAGCAGGAAATCACCGATAAGTTACAGTATAATTGTTTAAAAACAAAAATATCATGATAACCAAATCTCTTTTTGTACCTCCGAGTTGGAGGTATAGGATATAAACTCCCAACATGCTGCATTTTTTCTCAATTTTCTGCATTTTTAAAGACACAAATTTTGTGTTATGGCCAAGTTCCATAAGTTCTTTTATCATTAGGTTAACCGGAGATTTTTTAGTCTTCTATTGTTGAGCTATGGTGATCTCAGCGGCTAGCCATCATTTTTCAATATTTAAGAAGTGCTCTGTTGGATCAGACTGAGAGCCCATCTAGATTTTAACAGTGGTCAGCTAGATGCCTCTGCAAAGCCAGGAAATGTGGCATAAAAAGGGAGAAGAGTGTCTTCAGCACATAATACTCAAAGCTGTACAAGCAGACATGTGGTTTTCGTAGAAAATTTTGAATTGGACAATGTTCCTATAAATTTCCTGAAAAGTTTTCCATTGCCATAAATTGAGAGAAACTTAATTTAACACGGTTAGTTGACAATTAAACAAAATTGTAAAAGTGTGTCATGATAATTTTACATGTGATATAAATATCTGAAAGGTTTTTCTAATAGCTAAAAATAGTGGAACTGAAATATTTACTTGGGGGGAGATAAATAACATGCATTTAGTGAGGCTTATATTTTCTATTCAAACAAACATAGCTTCACTTGAAAATTATTTCAATTAAAATACTTCCAAATATTTTAAGGCATGACACTGACACATAATCACAGTCCCTTAGTTCCTTAAAAACAAAGTCCAAATACACCTTTCCTCAATGGAATATGCTCTGACCCTTGATGGTTTTAATGGCTCTTTTTTTATCTGTTCCAGTGCTATTGCATCCTTTTTGAGACAGGGCAATCAGAACTTCATATGGTATGCCAGTTATGGCTGGAATATGCACTATGGCAGGGGTTGGCAAGGTTTACGTTGCCTGGGCCAGTTCACTCCAGTGGAGATCCCTTCATGGGCCGGATTGCCCGCGCGCCCGCGTTTTCCGGCGTCTGTGCAGACGTGATTTTCGGCACTGCGGAAGTGAGTCCCCGTGCCACGCTGGTTTAGTGCAGCATGCCAGGACTCGCTGAGTGGGCAGCTTGGTTCGGGGGCGGCTCATGAGCAGGTTAAATGACCCCCATGGGCTTTAGGTTTCCAACCCCTGCACTACGGCAACAGTATTTTATTTTTTAGTCCCTTTCCTAATAATGTCCAACAGCCTACCTTTTTTCACTGCTTCCTCTGTCACAGTGAGCCGTCCACCACTACCCCAAGATCTCTTATAGCAGCCAGTCATAACCAATTAAGATCCCATCCATCAACTTTTACCTCAGGTAAGGCCTTTTCTTTCTTTCTTTTGCCTTGGGGTGCATGATTTATAATAATAATAATAATAATAATAATTTATTATTTATACCCCGCCCATCTGGCTGAGTTTCCCCAGCCACTCTGGGCGGCTCCCAATCAGTGTTAAAAACAGTACAGCGTTACATATTAAAAACTTCCCTGAACAGGGCTGCCTTAAGATGTCTTCTGAATATCAGGTAATTATTTATCTCTTTGACATCTAATGGGAGGGCGTTCCACAGGGCGGGCGCCACTACCGAGAAGGCCCTCTGTCTGGTTCCCTGTAGCCTCACTTCTCGCAATGAGGGAACCGCCAGAAGGCCCTCGGCGCTGGATCTCAGTGTCCGGGCTGAATGATGGGGGTGGAGACGCTCCTTCAGGTATACAGGACCGAGGCCGTTTAGGGCTTTAAAGGTCAGCACCAACACTTTGAATCGTGCTCGGAAACGTACTGGGAGCCAATGCAGGTCTCTCAGAACCGGTGTTATATGGTCCCGGCGGCCACTCCCAGTCACCAGTCTAGCTGCCGCATTCTGGATTAATTGCAGTTTCCGGGTCACCTTCAAAGGTAGCCCCACGTAGAGCGCGTTGCAGTAGTCCAAGCGTGAGATAACTAGAGCATGCACCACTCTGGCGAGACAGTTCGCGGGTAGGTAGGGTCTTAGCCTGCGTACCAGGTGGAGCTGGTAGACAGCTGCCCTGGACACAGAGTTAACCTGCGCCTCCATGGACAGCTGTGAGTCCAAAATGACTCCCAGGCTACGCACCTGGTCCTTTAGGGGCACAGTTACCCCATTCAAGACCAGGGAATCCCCCACACCAACCCGCTCCCTGTCCCCCAAAAACAGTACTTCTGTCTTGTCAGGATTCAACCTCAGTCTGTTAGCCGCCATCCATCCTCCAACCGCCTCCAGGCACTCACACACTTACATTGAAACTCATTTGACATTTTGCTGCCCCTTCACCACATATGGTGTCTACTGTGGCCTTCACCATCCTAAATAATTTGGGAGTCACCTGCAAACTTGGCTGTGATCATTTTGAATGACTTGAGATGCATCAGTCCCAACACAGATGTGGGGGGGGGCACTTCTTCCTTCCATTGATAAAGGAACTTGGTGAGAAAGCAAGCCTTACAGATGTTTCTGGAAAGGCCCATTCCCCTTACATTTCAGAATGCAGTTTCAGAAAGCAAAGCACATTACCATTGCATACATGTCACGCTGCACATAACTTCTTTCCAAACAGAGACGAGCAAAGTGATCCAGTTCTCGAATAAAAGACCCCTACATTGTCAAATAGCATGTGGTGTTTTTTCTGTTTTTATTTTTAAACTTTGTGCTTTCCACTGGAGCCTGTCTGCTATCAACCTGCATACAGCATTGGGGGCGGGGAGTACGGGAATCAGTACAGGTACAACAATATCACGTAGCTTTTTATCACACTTCGGTGTGTGCAAAATGTTTCCTTTGGGCCATGAGTTTACTCGCCTATCCCTCCCCGCTCCTGTGCAAATTTATCCCGCGACTTCTTGCCCCTAGTTAAGGTATTATTTTTAAAGCCAACTGCCAGGCCACCTTCCTTTCCGCCCCCCCTTTAATTACAGGGACGTGAGCGCCCGCTTTCATTCATAACTATTTGCAACGGTTCTCGAAACCGCCTCCCGCGCGGCCTCCCAAGTTTGCCCACCCGAACCCAGTCCGCGTCTCCCGGAGATTGAATCGCGGGAACACCCTCCACATTCAAGGCCTCGCGCTTCTCCCTCAAGTCATTCCCCGCCGAGAAACTACCTCTCGTCTCCCCCCCCGCCTTCCCCAACGGCCCACCCGGGGACTTGTTGAGGGGCCGACACTCGGGCCGGCCGAGCCCTCTGCGGAGTCGGCCGTGAGGGAGCCCGTCCGCCCGCCCCTCGCGAGGCAGATTCAAATGGAGAGAGAGGACCGAGCCCTCTCGCCTCCCGCGCCATTGCTCCCCTTTCCCCCCTCACCACGAGGCCCATAAATATTCGCCGGCGGCGACGCCGCGGCCCCTCGGGCGGAGGAGAGCCCGGCTCAAGCCACTCACCCGCCCGCCCGCCGCCGCCGCGCTTGCCCGCTCGGCCCGGAGTCTCCTTTCGCCGCCGCCGCCGCCGCCGCCGCCGCGCTCTTCACCACCTCGCCGCCGCCATGTTAGGATCTGGTGCAGCACGGACTGCGTCAGTGGAGGAGGGGAGGGAAGCGGGGAAGCCTTGGAGCGGCGAGGGCGGGACGGGGCGCGAGCGAGCGAGGATGTCTGCCGAGGAGAGCGGGCTGGAGGGGAGCCCTCGGGCGCCAGGGCCCTCTCTCGACCTCTCCAGAAATGGGGGGGGGGGACACGAAGATGGGAGGAAGATCAGATCTGTCCGACTCGCCGCCCCTTTTGGCGCGCACGCCCAAATCCCCTCCACCCTCCAGGCCGGAGCTCCAGCGCCTGCCCCTCTTCTCTGGGGATATAGAGAAGGAAGGGAAGAGACAACCAAACGGAGGGGGGGGGAGTGTCCAGCCGCCGCACCTCAACCCAAACGATGCCCTCAGTTTTTAGCTTTGCTTGCACTCTCGGCCGTAGGCTTTCCTCAAAACGCCCTGGGATTCAAGTTTCCAGTCCTCTTGACGGCTCTTGCGCTGGCGCGCCGCGTCGTTGTACTTCGGCCGCACCGCTTTGCGATCCAGGGAGAGCTTAGGGGTGATAGACAAACGCATGCCGCACACATTGGTAGGGGCACGTTGTATTTGACATACAAACATATTGGTATTTATTATTACTTATTAAATGTTCTTTTTTTAATAAAAAGTAAACTTGTAGGAAGGTCAGGCCGACCCACGTCGGGAGTGGAGATCATCATCTTCCCACACCGCAAACTGAAGGAGGGGAAATGGTTCTAAATGTTGTCGAGGGGTTCAGGCTGCAAGGCTACACTTTCTAGGAGGGAGTCTACTTTTGTGTTAAACCTGCAATTTTGCTGCGTTTAACCTTTCTTAGGGTTTCCTACTGTCCAAAAAAAGAGGGGAGGAAATCACTAGTGGCATATATTTTCCCAGGAATAGCTATTGCCTGGAAGTGTCTTAATTTTCTCCAACATAGCGCAGACTTTAATTTGTACTGTGTTAGAAAATGGGTCTGGTTGCATCCCTTCCCGACCCTGGATCTCCAGATGTCGCGTGGCTGGGGATGATGGGGGTTGTAGTCAACATCTGGGGGGCCCAAGGTGGGGATTTCTCAACCTTGGGTCCCCAGATGTTTTTGGACTACAACTCCCATGATCCCTAGCTCACAGGCCCAGTGGTCAGGGATGATGGGAGTTGTAGGCCAAAAACATCTGGGGACCCAAGGTTGAGAAAGGCTGGTTGTGATCTTGCATGTATTATCAATAACCCTTGGCTAAAAATAAATTCGCAGATCCCTAGGGAGAGGCAAAGTCTAATAAATCAGCTTAAGGCTGGTAGGAGTCGTCCTGGGAGTGCACTTTTTAAAGCAGCTTGCCATCACACTTCTTAACCCCACCAAATAGTTGTAGCCTAGATTCTCCACAAGCAATGTTGCATAGTGGAAAGACTACAACTCCCGACAGGCAAGGAGGCTGCCGGTGGAGCATGCTGGGAAATGTAGTAGCAGATTCTTCAACCAAGACTCAGACCCGACTGTTGTTATATAGGACAGAAGCTGCGGAGCGGCTGGTAAGTATGTATTTTTTGCGGCCGGTGTGGACGGAGTTATAGACATTTATTTCATTGTTAGCCAGTCGTCTCTCTATGCGGGGATATTTGCTGCTGGAGCAGAGGTGGTGATCTCCCGCCATGTGGATTCTAGGAGGAGCCTGCTTTGCAATAGGCAGCATGGTCGTGTGATCTGTAGGAAGTCTCCCTTTTCCTGCGTGCGACATGCTTCTGTTGAAAGAGATGGGCTTATACTTCCTAAGCAGCGCAAGGGACACAAGGATCCAGGCCGTTCACGGGGGTTCAAACTGTTACCTTCACAGCTGGAGAAAGGTGATAATGTCGATACGTTAGAGGTTATACTAGGTTTATGTGTACAGGGGTGGACTTACTCTCACGTGGCTTCTACACGTGTTGGGTTTTTAAAAAAATAATAATTGAGAAGGAGCTTCACTATTCTGTATGAAAATGAGTGGATGTCAAGACACATTGTTTTTAAAAATAAAAAATAGACAATCTAGTGAGTTTGGATTTGTTGGAAAGGTTTTGGGTCAGATCCATCTTGAAATCAGGAAGGAAGTACAATATCATTATCACCTCAGAACACCAGTGGGAATACATATTCATATAATCCTAGAGTTGGGTGGAAACTTAAATGTGATCTAGTTCAGCCCTCTGCTGATTCAGGAAATCCACTTATCCCGGGGGAGGCAGAACCAAGTTATCTGGGAGGTAATTGGTCAGTTAGTTAAGTATTTCTATTTATTTACTTGATGGGGGGGGGACAACTGCAGTGGCTTGATTCATGCATATTGCTATATTACAGCTTAGTGCTATATGGACAGATTTCTCAAGTATGGTTTGTTGAAACAAGCTAACTTCACAAAACCTGTGCTTTGAAGTTGGCAAGTTTCAACAAACCATTGTTAAGATCTACGCTTTATTTGAGTTCACTTTCCCCGGTGAGTAGCAAAATAAAAAATGGAAGCTGAATCGAAAATGGAAGTGAGAGCTTCCAAATTCCTCTATAGCTACACCAGAGGAGGGGAGGAGTATTGAACCTGAGGCTCACTGCAACTCATCATGTAACACTAAACCATGATTTTGTGTGAAGTTTGAATGCCAAATATTGTTTGTTTGGACTATTGATAGGCTACAGTATTGATACAGGCATGCACAGGCAGACAGAACAATCAAATTTTGTGGTTTAATAACTTATTTGCAAGACTAATTCTCTTAAACTGCTCCTTTTGCAGGTTCTTCAGAATTATTTCCGCTTCTTCAACAATAACTACAAAGGTTAAGGGAAAAGCAATATTATATACCTAAATGCTTTACCTTGCTGCTAGCTTGTGGTTTGCATCTGACTGGAAGTGAAGAAGCCTCATTCTGGACATGTTTCCAAAAACATAAAAATAACAAAAATGCTTTCTGTAAGACGTTTTTATTTATTTGCACTGAGATGTCGCCAGTGTCAGACTTGGAGTGGTGATCCCTTGTTAAGCCAGCTAAATAACTGCATAAATGAAGATCAAGTGTTTGACCTTGTTGGAAAGAACAAAACCAAACTTTCTGAAAAACACGTGGGAAGGGCAATTAATATACTTTGGGGGTTTCAAAAGAAGAAGCCTGAGCCTCTGAGGCTTACTGATTATGTAAAAAATCACTCCCAGTTTCTTATACTTCGCATTTTAGCAGAAAACAAGATTGAACAAATGGATAATGAAGCATTAGTGGATATTCTGTATAATTTACTCAGGTAAGCCATATAGTATGATGCTGAAATGTAATGGGGGTAAGTTTATTAATCTGGGTTTAAAAAAGTAATTGTGTTTTAAAAAATATATATGCTTAAACTGAAGCATCCTGGTTGCTGCAAAAGCACAGCTCACTCGTACAATGCCTGTTTAAAATTTGCTCATATTTCTCTATCTAAACAGTGTATGATCTAATGAGTCATCCTTCCCTGTGTCTGACCTCCATAAAAATGTATGAGATTACTCTCACGTAGCAGACGTTAGGTGTAAAAGGTGGTGTAGGGACTGACAGTTACAGGCACAATCAAGCCAAAGCAAAGGTAGCTTGGCTGCCAATATTTTCTCCCATTAATGTCCTGACGTTAGGCAGTTCAAAGGGAAACTAGACAATCATTGCGGAGGTGACAACAACTACAAGAGGGTTCTCACTATTGGTTACTGCAGGGATGGGGAATCTGTGGCCTTCCAGTTGTTGTTGGACCACAGCTTTCATCACCCGTGGTCATTGGCCAATGCAGGCTGGGGCTGATAGGAGTTAGAGTCCAAAAAGTTTGAAAAGCAAAATACAAAGTTCCAGCTGTGGCTGACTTTCTGTCCCAAGCAGGTAGAGCAATGGAGAAGAAGGAGAGCCAAGTGTTAAGGGCTGAATGTGAGCAAATGCAGTTATGTTTATTTACGGTTGGTTACAGCGAAGATGGGAGGAAATTCAGCTTCTCGGTAAAATATTCCATCGGCGCAAGCCTTTTTGCCTGCCTGGTGTAACAACCTCTCCTCTTCTACCACTTGCATGCTGTTTGTGGGTTCTCCCAATCCCCACAGTGCTGATTTGGGGGTGCATTGGGATGCGGGGGGGGACCCCATTGCGCCAGCGGGAGCCCTTGAACTGGCTCCTACTAGTGGAACTAGGAAGCTGAACCTGGCCCAGGGATTTAAGTGGTTAAGTAAAAGGCCTTGAAGAAAATGTGGGGTTTAAAAGGGAAAGAGAGTTGGCATCCGAGCTGCACAGTTCCAAGCACTGATCTGTTCATAGTTGTAAGAGGTTTCCCAGAACTCGCAGGGAAAGTGTTCGATAAGTACAAAACTCTAGCAACCTGCTATTTATAATACATTTAAAACCGCTCCCCCCCCAATCTCTGTTAAAATATCTATGCAGAGCATTTTACTTATTTTTTGGTCCTTGTGAAGGTTTGGAATTGAGGCCCATGATTCACTGGTTGAAGAGCTCGTCATGGAATGCTGGAGAAGATTAAATGGGCAAGTACACATTAAAATTAAAATCCTATAAATTGAAAGCTTGAGAGCTCATGCTTATAAAAACTACCGCAAGGTTAGTACTGACAAGCTTAATTTATTAAAAGTATGGTAGGCCCCTTTCTCTCTTCAAAGCTGAAGTAGTTGTGGGTTAAGATAAATTTGCACTGAGGACCATTGTACCAATAAAGGCAGCTACAGATTTAAGAATGTAACACTCCTGGATAGATTTTGAAAGGTGACTTAAGGCTTAAATTTGATAGCTATGTAACTGGCAGTAAGGCTAACTAACCTCAGTGAGATTTATTTCAGTATAAGATTGATTGCACTGTTAAGATTCCTAAATGAAAGCAGTGGAAGACTTGGTTTTAAACCAGTTTATAGAAGAATCTATAAAGATTTATGGGAGAAAATAACCTCTGCTCCAGTCCGCCCTTCCCTGAGGAAGTTAAAGTGTACCAGAACAATAAACTCAAGAATCTGGGCTAATATCTAAGCTTTCTGAGCGATATACATACAGTGGTGCCTCACAAGACGAAATTAATTCGTTCCACAAGTTTTTTCTTCTTGCGAGTTTTTCGTCTTGCGAAGCACGGTTTCCCATAGGAATGCATTGAAAATCAATTAATGCGTTCCTATGGAAACCGCTTGCCAGGCTGGCGGTGCGGAGAAGGGCTTTTCTCCCCACCGCAAGCCTTCAGGACAGGTACAGGAACAGAGGGGAAGGCGCGCAGCGCTTTTCCTCTGTTCC